CCAACACATTAATTACCGTAATTTTCGGACTATAAGCCGCACCTCAATATAAGCCGCGACTTATAGTCCAGAAATTACGGTAATCTCAAAACCTTTTTTTTTTTATAAATAAAAGGTCTTCAAATCTCTATTTTTGAAATACATTTTCTTTTTCAAAAATGTGTTCTTAGTTTTCAGTAATGTTGGAACAAAACTGTCTCCATACCTCATTAACGGGCATCCCCACAGCATGATCCTGCCAGCACCATGTCTACAGTGTGAATGAGTCATTTAGGTTTTCTTCTGGTCTTTTGATCTTTAAACCTTTTTTATTCAGTGTCAGATTTTTTTGGTTATTGTGATCATCATAACTTAACAATTCAGCAGTATGCTGGTGAAGATTCTCAGCCATCCAGGTGATAGTCAGCAGCCAGGCTACTGTATAAAACCTGGAACTGAATGCTATTCTTGACATTTTGAATTGAAAAAGCTTCCTGGATGGGAAGCGAAACGTCTTCAAACTTGGAAACAAAGTCCAGTTTATTATTATTTTTCTTTTTTTTTAAATACAGTAGCATGTTTTGTTGAATTATAACTTAAAATCCCAGTAAAACATGTTTGTTTTTCTAAAGTGACATAAAGAGCAATGGTTTGATGGCTACACTTCTGTAATTCATATGAAGCAGAGCAAGGCGTCCTGCTGGGAAGTTCAGACTGTTACGCAGCTTTAAACCGTCTTAGGACCAAGTGATCCCACAGATGTTTTGGAACAGAGAACGTGACACCATCGTTTGTTTGATTATTTTTCCTTTGGATAACGGTGGATCATTAGCAGCGGATATTGGCTGAAACAGACAGAAAGGCCCCCAGTGTTTCAGACAAACCCATTTCACCGACAGCGTTTGAGCTTATGGGAGATCTGGAAGCAAACCAAAACTGGCTTAAGTTCAAGAATGACATGTCTCCCTCTGGCAGGGGCCCCACAATCCAGAGTCACTACTGTTACAGCAGACACACTCCAGAGAAAAAAAAGAGAAACCTCCTGACAGCTCCGCTTCTCCTTCCAGCTGGGGAGAAAACAGAAAGCCGGCAGCCGACCTGTTGCTCGGCGGAGATTTGAGAAGCTGCGGCCGATTACCGTCTGTTCAGACGGAAACATTCAGGAAACCTGCTGGCCGTCTCTCCACTGCGCCTCTAAAAACCTGCCGGGTTCTACGTCAAAAATGTTTTTCTAAAGGAGCAGCACTGACCAAAGTAGAGCTTCAATGTTCAAACACTTTATACCATTCTCATCTGCTGTGGTATCCATACTAAAGAAAAATATCGTTTGCATATTTTTACTATTTCTAATTCAACATTTCTGGATTATTTGCACAATTAAAGAAAAACACCTGAGAGGACCTTAAAATATTGCTTTTATTTGCACACATACGTAACTAGAATCTGTGATTCTGTTGAGAAATCGTGCTCCATGTTAGGCTTGAATAAGATCAGTCGTTCCTGCTATTAAACATATTTTATGTTTAATTATTTGTCATTTTTTTGGTCATATTATGTCGACTTTACCAGAAAGCTTCAATCAGCTGCAGGTTTATGGAGAAAATGTGAACCTGATCCAGAGGAGAAAAGCAGGAAAGTGTCTAAATTATGAGGGGATTGCAGGTTTATGGCCGATCAACGATTACCGATATTTAAAAAAACTGATTTGCAAATATTGACCAGAGCCAATATTTTTTAATAACTGTTATTAAATCACTTTACAGCTTCAAAATCATCTAATAAAAAACATTAAGACGTCCTTAGCTTCCCATTAGCTGAATGCAAAGTTTAGAGCATTGATATTGGGTGATTTTCAGACTGTAGTAAGTAAAGTAAAATTTATTTGTATAGCACTTTTCAAAGATAAAAATCACAAAGTTCTTCTAAAAAAATGAAATACAATAAAAAAAAATGTAGAATAGAATGTATATGAACATTTTAAAAATAAATGGAAACATACAAACAAAGCCATAAAAAAACACACGTCTAATTAAAGGTATACTATGCAACCGGTGTTGATTTTCCAGCGAGGCTCCCCCCAGAGGGCGAAAGTAAAAGTGCACTGTCGTAAATATGCTCAGCTGTTCTCCTGGTTTCTCCGTCAAGCCAGGCGCGGTTGTTTTGAGCTTAGCAGACAGGCGAACGCAACGAATCACCATGTCTACTGCGGTAAGTGAGTTTGAAAATTTCGCTCTTTTCTCGCTGGTTCCGCTATGATAACTGCACAAAGATCGCCACTGCGCTAGCAACGAGCATGCCTTTCACTGGGGGCGTGTAGCAGTTCTCGCCGTAAAGCGAGACCGACTCTCGCGATGCACGAGACTTCTGAGCCTGTGGGTGCGGGCCGAGGGCTCCTGCAATTGCAAGTACGGTAATTCCCCTACAGACCACCAGGGCGGCCGAGAAAACCTTTGTTCCACCTGAAATGACTCATTTAATCATCCAAAACGTTATGGAACACATTAATTTACTGAAAAATGTTGCATAGTATGCCTTTAAAAGCCTGGTTGAATGGCAGCGTATTCAGTTGCTTTTTAAAGAAAAATAGTTTTCTCCAGTCCTACTAACAGACATTAGATAGATTCCTCCCTTATGACTTTTAGTTTCATTGTGCCACCTCCAGATACTTAGTGTCCCTAAACATTTCTGTAGCGCCACTGTCAGTGCATAGTAATGGCTGATGATACTGATAACATGCAGATAAGCTGACCACTAGATGGCAGTAAATCCAACACATTGGGCCTTTAAGATGCATCATAGCAGAAGAACTATTTTAAATTTTCAAATGTAAAGATAAAAGTCTTAGTTTTCTTCACTAAACAGAATCGGTATTTCGCTCTAAAAAGGTTAAAAGCATTCAGCCTCAGCTTCATGTCATAGATACAGTCAAAATATTTAAAGTCGTAGGGTAGCGGCCGTTCAAACGGTTGCATTTCCGAATTCTCCCGAGTGGTGCCCGACTTTACGCGGGTGAATAAAGTGAATGTTATTGGTCGATTATCAAGAGGGCGGGATTGTTGTGGCAGAAGGTTTGCAAACCAACTTTGGAAGTAGCCGGTTCGTCGGAAGCACCTCGCTTACCAGTTAGCAACTTAGTGCTAGTAGGTTCCCAATAGGAAATTCCATTGGGACCAAGTAGTACTAAATTGGTGACTTAGGCTACGTTCACACTGCAGGCCTTGATGCTCATTTCCGACTTTTTTGTGAAATCCGATTTTTTTTTGCGTTGCCGTTCACATTTCCAAATATATGCGACTTGTATGTGATCTCCTGTGTGAACTGCAGTCATACAACGTAAGTGTCCCGCATGCGCAGTAGAGGACGCAATGACGTCACAAGCAGCAATCTCCGAGTTTAAGTTAGCGGTCATTCCGAACATTAAAAACTCAATCGTTGCAAGATGGTTAAACATAAATACTGCTCCCCGCATCATCGTCCGCCATTGTTATTGTTTTTCTTGCCACTTCTGCGCAGCAAGAAGCAGAAGTATTAATGGCGTTAAGGTCGGATAAATGCGACCTGGCCATTCAGACAAAGGTCGCATTTGAAAAGATCTGATGCGTATCGGATTCAGGACCTCATAGCCAAGTAGCCTGGGTCGCATTGGAAAAAATCTGATCCGACTTGTTTAGACTGTCAAGAAAAGATCAGATCCAGGTCGCAAATGGGCCAAAAAATTCGGATTTGGGTCACTTCAGGCTGCAGTGTGAACGAAACTGTCAAGGAACGCTATGGACAGAGGAAACATGCAAGAGGAGGAGAGTTTAGTGTCGGAGGTCGTGGATGAGTCTCCTCCGTCATCCATTTTTTATTTAGAGGAGGAAAGCGGGGACGAAGATGTTGTGGAAGAGGACGCCAGAGCAGCAGAAGCTTGGTTTGGTGTAGAAGGCTTCCAGCCGTACATGTTTGAGCCCTTGCCTCGCAACGCTGCCAGTTCTGTTAGCTCTACGCCTGCCGAAGACACAGACGTCCATCCCCGTGAACACTGGGACGCAACTCAATGGGAAAGGAAAGGATTCTGATTTCAACCGTTACGTATATTAGCTGCGACATATGAATCAAAATGTATATACGATTGGCCGATTTTAGGTGTTCAGGCTGACGTATAACTAACTGGCCTGCAGAAGATAATGAAGGAAAAAAAAAAGATTTTATGAAAGGAACTTTTGGGACAATCTGGTCTGATAAAGAATACATTTATTTACATGTTTAAGCCAGAATGATTTGACATTTAAATATGATTTCCCTCAGACTTTAAAAGGAAACCTTATTGGGGGGGAACCCGGAGTAAAATACGTCACTAAATACCAGGTTAGAGCTAATGGGCTTTTAGTCAACACATCTGCAGAGCTGCTACCTCAGCAGCCAAACCCTGTGGAACTGGCTGCCTTTGTCCCTCAGCTTCACTCAAAGCAGATGTGACCCAGCAGCATCTGCATGGAGGAGCTGCTCACACCAGGTAAACAAACAACCAGGGGTCTCTAATTCTTTGATTTGGGGGGGTTCAGATGGGATGGGGGGGGGGCTGCCCAGGGGCGTTTAGATGGAGGGGGGGCAGGGCCCCAATTCCTTCCCTTCCACAACACTGGCTGCAGAAAAGCAACACAAAGGGCTTTAATCCTAATGCGTTGACAACAAAGGCTTCCCACTCGCCATCACCAGATTCCCAGGGCACAGACCCCCCCACTCCCACTCCCACTCAGGACCTGAACCAGCAGTGTGAGGAAATCACCCCCAACAATCAGGGAGCTGCATGCCGAACACATGGATGCAATCACCTCCTATGTTTAATCACCCACCTGACACAATCAGCAAACTGATGCTACAACTTCCCCGTGGATATTTCCACGCGGTTAAAAGAAAGCCCTGCAGGTTTGGTCCGGAGCCTCTGCAGCAGCGTGCATAGCAACAAAGTGAGTCCGTTAGAAGCCAATAGCCTCTCACCGGGGCCAGAACGTCACGGAAAACCAAGCTGCACTCACCCAGGAACGGCTGCTGTAGGTCCGGCCCTGTGGGCTCCGCGTCCGCCGCTGGAAGGAGGATCACCAGACCCGTTAGAGCGGCTTCTAGTCCGGTGGAGCCCGCAGCACAGCTCCAGTCAGCCTCTCGGTTCGCAATCCCCCGCCTCTCTGCTGGATGTCAAGTTCAGGGGGAGAACAGGGGGGCTACATCCGGTCAGCCCCTCCACAATAAAAGCTTCAGTAATTTTTTTCCCTTCTATTTCTTTTTTATTATTATTTGTAAAATGGGCCTTGATTGATAAACTAAATAGAATAGAACTGTCGCGTTATTTAAGAAAAAACTTATATGAAGTCAAGAAAAAGTTCTTAAAGTCCAGGGGCGGAGCTAGATGGGGGGCCAGGGCCACCCTTAGCCAATCTGTGGCCACCCCTACCATTTCTTCCCTCTAATAAGTTCAATTCAATTCAATTCAGTTTATTTATATAGCGCCAAATTCACAACACATGTCATCTCAAGGCACTTTACAGTTCAACCAGATCAAACAGTCAAATTGATACAAAGTTTTCTATCTAAGGAAAACCAGTTGATTGCATTGACTCATTGACTGAAATACAATCCCCCACACTAAGCATGCTTGTAGCGACAGTGGAGAGGAAAAACTCCCTTTTAACAGGAAGAAACCTCCAGCAGAACCAGGCTCAGTGTGAGCGGCCATCTGCTGAGGCCGACTGGGGTTCAAGGAGACAGAAGCAGAGATACAAAAAGCAGCTGTAAAAGGCGGCCCCATTTAAGTGGCAGCAGTAATACTCTCAAGAGGACTATTCAAAACATTTTATTTTTTGTGGCTAAATATACACATCAATATACTACAGTAACATCAAATATGATAAATACAGAATTCATGCTCTTTTCAGAGCTAGATTTTCTGTTTTATGGGGTCAAGAGAAAATGACGTGTCTCTGCAAGTCATCTAGGAGTCTTCAGAGAAATCAAAGATTTTAATAAAAACTTAATAAATAATCAATTTATGCAGATATTAGTCCCCGTAAATATCAATTTTATGCAGAATGCTTATGTAATGTGTAAGAAGGTAAGTAATGACAATGATGATTGATTTACGCCCCAGAGCTCAAAACTTTTATCCAATATATATTTTATCTAGAAAGCATCTATTTGTTAACAAAGGCTGTAGAAAAATATAGTTAGTCTTTATTTAGAAAATTTGGTGCCGATCCGCTTTCAGCCCCCCCTCGGTGTGCATCGGTTAGTGCTTGGCCACCATTATAAAAAATGTCTCTGTTAAAGTTGTAGGGAAGCCATATTTAAATTTCAAATCATTCTGGCATAAATATGTATATAAATGTAGTCTTTATCAGACTATATGGTCCCAAAATTTAGAAAATTTCTCAAACATGTACGGCTGGAAGCCTTCTACACAAGTTTCTTTTGCAAAGTGGAGATAAACGCCAAACATTATTGCTGTTTGGCTCATGCCATGGACAAGTTTGGGAATCTAAGCAACTGCTAAGGCCCCTAGGGGAACTTGGGGGCCCCAGAGAAAAATAATTTTCGTTTTTTGATATGTGTAATGATTTCCATATGAATATAGTAACCGAAACAAACAGGAAGAACATTAAAAGTCATACGTTTGAGTTATAATTGCATATACTTAAGTATATTAACATAGTTTTTATTGTTAAATTTCATTTCATTTTCTACCTGGTTTCAGGTAACCTTTTTTTTCCAATACTTAAATCAGAAACAGACTGGTGACCATTGTTTGGTACCAAAAAGTATAAACACCTTTCACCTTTATTGTAAATATAGAAGGCCCTGATTAGAAATACCTAAAATACCGAGAGAGTAAAGTGTAGATGAGACCATTTAAAAAAACATTATATTCTTTCTTGCTCACTTTCGTGTTCCTGAATATTTTTCTAACTTGGGAAAACCCTTTTTCTCTTGCATTGAAAATAAATGTATTGTAATAATCCTTTATTTTTTCACCTTGTTCTTTAGTCCCACCTTCTGAGCAGACCAATACTTTATCATGTCTTGACAGAATGTTAATACTTGGGAAACACACTATTAGAAATCCACGTACCAAATAATTATATGTTGCCTAAAAGGGAAGGCTCTAATATCATCAAAGATTTAACCCAGGGGTCACCAATTGAAAATCAGAATAAAGAAAATTAACAACCAGTTATGGTCTGGAGACATTTTTAACTATAACCTGTTACTTTAAACAGAATTTAACACTATAATAAAATGCAAGTGTTTATGCATCCGTGTTTATATATATATATATATATAAAATAGAACATTTTCCATTTTAAAATCAGTTTGGTTTATAGACAATTTCCTGATTCACATATTTTATAAAACACCTGAAGTGAGTGTTTATTTGTTTCCTTTCTTTTTTTTGTCTTAATGTTGGCAGTGGGCTTTAGGCTGCCCTGCAAGGCTTTAAACCTGGGTTTAACCGGAGACTAAGCCATTCTCAAGCACATATCAAGGAGCTCATTCTGAGCCTGGATCCAGATTTATTGTTGATTCTGTTCATGGTGGAGAATCCTGCTTCACAGCAGCAGGTTGAGCCAAACATCCTCTAAATGTGCAGGGTCATCTTTGAGCACGCCATTTCACTTTTCTTTCACCAGTTCACCGCAGTTCTTCCAGCAGTCCACACTTTCTCTGCTCTCTTTTTCTCATTGTCTTCTCCTTCTTTCCCATCGCCCGGCTTGCCACAGGTTTGCCTGCTGTGTCTAAAAGTAGCAGCAGCAGCAACCCAGACTGACAGCTCATTGGCTCATTTGGATCACGTGCAATCTGGAGCCGGACGCTCCCCAGGGCTTTACCGTATTACCAGGAGAAGAGGCGCAAGTGAAATTAGACACTGTCGTCAGACAACATGCAGTATTTATAAATTCTTTAAATCAGGTTGGGTCCAGATCCGGACCCCATCCAAAAATCTAATAATTCTGATTATAATTTAAACTTCTTATTATCTTATATTGTGTTTTTCTTGTCGCAAAAGGTCACAGCTTTCATTAACTTTAGAAATGTATGAGTATTTCTTCCTTATTAATGAAGAAGAGAAAAAAATCATCCCAGAGTTTGTGCTTTCTGTATTTTCTTTTATTTGTGTGTTGTTATTGAAAAAAAATTTGAAAGATGGAACTTTTCAGTCATAAAAAGGGTTTTGAGTGTTACTTCTATTTCTCATGATTTGCTATTTTTACAATTTTCTTTTTCCAAATGTTTTTTTAAATATATATTCTAAAATCATATTTTTTTAATTCTCTTTTTCTTTAGTTTTTTTTTTCAGATAGTCATGAGCATGGAACCAATAGAATGTAGTCTACTCCGCTTGGTCTTTAGCAAAGGCATTCCCATTGGTTCACCTACAGAACACACAAACGAGTTGTGGGCAGATTTAAAAGGAATGCTGTTTGTAAAACTCTGTTTTTCCAACAAAAAAGTGAGAAAAAAAAAAAAGAAATTGAAAAATATATTTGAAAAATTTTCTTTAAAGTATTTTTAAATTTAAATTGGAAATAGCAGCAACTCAAAAATATTGGATTAACTTTAAAAAAAAAACCTTTTTATTTGCAAAGTTCCATTTCTAAATTATTTAAATGTATTTTTTTTAAACATGTTCTTTGCTTCAAATAATATTGTGACAAACGTATCTCTATATTTCCAGCCTTACAATCATGAGGGGCCCATAGATTCCAGGGGCCTCAGACAATGACTTTGCTAAAGTTTAGCCCTGCGCCAGTAAACTACATTGAAACTTATCATCTCAAAGCCCAAAAAATTAAATAAAATTTTGCGGGAGTGGGCTGCCTGTTTAAATTTCCATCATGAAAAATATGAATGTATAAACATCAATTTAAAGTTTGTGTTTATGCTTTTATTTTGAAAGTCCAGCCGGATGTAGCTGGAGCACCGCTCAGCAGCTTGAACAATCTGCGGTCTTCCCTCCGCAGACACCGGGCTGTCTCTCACATCCCCGCCCGTCTGTCTGTCAGCCTGATGGGGCGCATCCAGAGCCCCGCGGCCGGGGGTGTCTCATTCCGCCCCGCCTCGATCCCTTCATCACACTCCGGTGTTTTCCAACCCAAACCCCATCAGATCTGGAATATATCTAAATTCTTCTCATCTTGTCAAGTTTTTAAATCTTGATTAAAGTCCATAAAATCTGGGGTTTTATTTCCACATTCTTCAGGTCTGGTGTGTAAAGTTCCCTCTGAGCTCAGAACCAGCGGCTTGTTTCAGGATCATGAATAATTTAATGCTTTGATGATCAGTGGGAAACCAGACTACAGCCAGGAAGCTGAGAGTGAACATCAATTCAGGATAACAACACAAGGTTTAACAGGAAAAAAAAACACACACAAAAAAAAAAAAAACGGTTTTCTGGTTATTTTAAATAGAAATATGATTAAAATCAACTCTATTTCCCTAGAAAACCAAAACCAGAAATAACTTGTAACTACTAAAAATAACATTAACTTCATTCTTAAAGGAAAATTCCGGTTTTTAACACTTTTAGCCCATTTTCTGTAGTGTCCAGGATGCAATCGAATGATCGACACCAAAATTTTGACGATTGGTCCTGTCTCTGCTATTTGGCTCATGCAGAATCCCCCCCTGGCTGCTTCAGAATGGCTTCCATAGTGCATGTCCGATAATGTCCTTAAAACAACCTTAAACGTTCTTTTTTTAAAATATGCTACTCACCGGGTCGTCAGCGCTGTTCAATGACGTTCCAAAAAAAGTTTCGTGAAGAAAAACCGTTCCTGTCTTGTTTTATTTAGCATTTTGTAAATCCCAGAACTATTTTTTCCGATACATCACAACCGCTTATAAACACCCGCTTCCCGTTCGAATCTGAAGCGTTGCACACTCCAGACCACTAGTTGGCGACAATGTCTCTATATACTCCTCCTCAGAATATTCCGGTTCAAAACGGTATCCTCTACCGTCAAACTCAAAGTCCAATATGTCCTCCTCAAGAATCCACCTTTCGTATTCCATTTTCAGAGTTTTTTAAAGTGTTTAACAGAGACGTTAGCACCTCGACGTCGGAGTACACAGAGTGAAGCGAAAAGACTACAACTAAGCGTAAACAGTTCCCATTTCCGTTTCCGGTGGCGGAGGGATATTGACTATTCCAACAGAACTCTTTACAAAATGCTAAATAAAACACTACAGGAACGTTTTTTCTTTACGAAACTTTTTTTGGAACGTCATTGAACAGCGCTGACGACCCGGTGAGTAGCATATTTTAAAAAAAGAACGTTTAAGGTTGTTTTAAGGACATTATCGGACATGCTCTATGGAAGCCATTCTGAAGCAGCCAGGGGTGGATTCTGCATGAGCCAAAAAGCAGAGACAGGACCAATTGTCAAAATTTTGGTGTCGATCATTCGATTTCATCCTGGACACTACAGAAAATGGGCTAAAAGTGTTAAAAACTGGAATTCTCCTTTAAGATCTGATTTAGGCCCCGTCCACACGAAGTCAAAACGAACACAAAACGCTAATATTTTCCAGAACGTTTGTCGTAAAGACGGAGACGTAAAATAAATGTGATCGTCCACACGAATGCATTAAAACGCTGCAAAATGTATGCCAGGCCTGTAAGTGGCGCTGTGGTGCCAAAGCAAAAATAGGCGACGAAATGTTGGGCATGCGCACTAATATTTATACATGGTTGCCCTGCGGGTCCATTTTCGTGGTTCAGTCAAATTCAGGTGCTGAACTATGTCGTCGATATTGCTCTGTTCTTCCTGGAGATATTCCAGAAGAAGAAGATTCTGTTGTAAGCCCGACAGCAGGGTGAGTAGCATTAGCAGCAACCATTCAACAAAGTACGGCGCCATTGTTGTTGTGATACTGTGTCGCGCATGCGTGTTTAGAGGCCACGCTATGACGCATGCGTGTAAGAAAATGCGGTTAGAGCTTAAAGATGGAAACGCGAAAACGGCGTTTCAGAATCTTCCCACTCTGAAGGCTGAATAAAAAAAAAGATTGTTTACAGACCCCGAAACGCCGGCTTCGTATGGATGAGAGGCTGGTTTGGTGAAAAATTTGTGCGTTTAGGCCAGGGTTTGACTTCGTGTGGACGGGGCCTTAAGGAAATAGAAAAAATAGATTTTCCTCAGATTTCTATTTTAATATGATAATAGAAAACAAATAAGGCTTGTTTGGATCCACAGTATTGATCAGTGTCTGTTTAGAAACGATCCAGACACGCTGTTTCAGTCAATTAACTTACAGTCATACCTACAGGGAATGTCATAATGGTCTAAATCAGAGGTCTTCAAGGTTTTCCAGGCCAAGGACCCCCAAACTGATGGTTAGATGGAGCGGGAACCCCCTAATTATATATATGATATGAAATAGTGTTCTATCACACTGGTCCTATAGTATTACAGATGGAGAAATGTAACTAAAGTAATCCCTCCCTGGGATTATTAAAGTATTTCTGATTCCTGGTTGGTGGGACAGGTGTTGTGAATGAAACGGTGCCCAGCTTGAAAGAGCTCCTGTGTGTTGCTGAATGTGTGCATTGATGACTGAAAGACATCTTCTGTCTCCATTTATCTGTTTACTACAGTCTGTTGGATTCATGTTAATGTGGATTTAAAGATATTTCAATTAGTTGAAAAGATTGCAGGGGGGAATATAAAAAAGAAGTCTAATCAACCAAAACAAGATGACTTGTTGATGGATAATAGCGCGTTGTGACAAACACCAGATACAGAGCCGGGACTTGATCAACAGCCGATACCGCACTGTGACGTCACAAACCAGTAGGTGGCAGTAGTGTTCCATCCCACATGGATGCCTCCAGTAAAGCACATTCACATGAAAATTACTCTGACTTAAAAACACTAATCATTTATTGAACATTTTTAACATTCTTGTAATAATTCCATAATAAAAGTAATTTCAGAAGTTTGATTTTTCCTTTAAAGAATGTATTGAAAGTTCCAGAGTTTCTGCAAAGTTTGCCCCCTCTGGCAACAAGTTGAAACAACACCGATGTTGTACACGTTCTTGGGCGATGAGAAACTCTTAATCTGTCACCAAACAGACTCCAGATTTGGCCATTTTCTTCAAACTAGACAAACGTTTTATTTTGGTACTCTTGTGCTTCATGATTTGGTGGCACTTGTGGCTGGACTTTATTGATCCATCGTCAAAAACAGTCTTATTCTAATGCAGAAAAGGTGCTGGAGACCTAAAGTAGTCAAAGGGACGAGACATAGTGGAAAAACTTGATAAATGTGCTAGATTCTTTTTCAAAGCAAACAATAAAAATGACTATTGGTTCTTCGAGGCTCTTGTTTCAGCTGTTTTCTTTGGTTTGGTCTTCCACCAAGGTTGGTTTTCCAGGCCTCTTGGCTCTTTGTCTTTAACAAGCTGCTGGTTAATGTGCCAGTGGAAAGAACAATTAGCAGTTTTTACAGTGTTGCTTGCACTATTAGCTTACTGATGAAAGCCTTAAGAAGTAGCTATGCAGTTCTTTACATTATGTACACTTCTGACGGTGGGATATTGATCTCCAGGGGTAAGTTCAGGCAGCTTGGCTTCACGTTTTGTGTCTGTCTTCATCTTTAGCTGCTGCAAGACAAAAGAAAAGGAAAAATAAACTGCTGCTTCTCTAACTGAGGGGGATTCTATTGCGAACAACACCGTTCTTTGACACATTGAAGTGAGTATGTTCGTCTGGTACCTGTCATTTAGCCTCGTGAGTCCATCCTGATCTTGTGAGCTTTCAAGGTTTCACTCGCAGATCAGTCTGGAGACTCTCCGTTAAAGAAAATTTGGAGCCGTTCACCAAACGAACGTCCAATCAGCGTTGGCTTTGAGGCGGGTTGAGGTGTGACGCAACAAGAAGCGCGACAGTTCAGTCTAAAGAACATGGCGGCTTCAGCTGATGAAACTAGCGTTAGCGTGGCTATCGAGCAATTTTTATCGGAATTACAGAGTATTTCTTCACTGAAAGAAGAGCAAAACACTGCTCTGGAGGCTTTTCTCAGAGGAAAAGATGTTTTTGCTCTTCTCCCGACTGGTTTCGGCAAGAGTTTGATCTATCAATTGGCTCCTCTTCGTCATCGCTCTGTTACGTCATATGCTTCGTTGATCTGATTGGTTTATTTGGCCCGTCTATCACCAACATAGGCCAATCAGCTAACCAGTATTTTTCGCCCCTTCCCAAAATTACTGCAAAGGAAGGTTTCCAGATGGATATGCGGAGCAAATCCATCTGGCGGAGTCAGGTTACCTGTCATTGTCCTCTCCAATGGTGTCAGACTGGCTGTTCTGGAGAAGGAGGGCCCTGCTAATGCCAATCAAGGGCGATGCTCCCGGCAGCTGGCCAGGTCTGATCGGCTTCACTGGGTTTCACCAAAAAACAAAACAGAAAGAAAAGAAGAAAACAAAACACTCAGTAATTTTACAGGGTTTATAGAAGAATGAGTAACTCTTATTTAATGCTCTTTAAAGTCGTAGGGTAGCGGCTGTTCCAACGGTTGCAGTTCCAAATTCTCCTGAGTGGTGCCCGACTTTGCATGAGTGGATAAAGTGGATGTGATTGGTCGTTTATCAAGGGGGCGGGATTGCAAGTTTGGTTGTGGACGGTGTCTCGGAAGCATCTTGCTAACCAGTTAGCAACTTAGTGCTAGTAGGTTCCCAATGGGAAATTCCATTGGGACCAAGTAGCACTAAATTGGTGACTTAGAAACGACACTGTCAAGGAACGCTATGGACAGAGGAAACATGCAAGAGGAGGAGAGTTTAGTGTCAGAGGTCGTGGACGACTCTCCTCCGTCATCCATTTTTTATTTAGAGGAGGAAAGCGGGGACGAAGATGTTGTGGAAGAGGACGCCAGGGCGGCAGAAGCTTGGTTTGGTGTAGAAGGCTTCCAGCCGTACATGTTTGAGCCCTTGCCTCGCAACGCTGCCAGTTCTGTTAGCTCTACGCCTGCCGAAGACACAGACGTCCATCCCCGTGAACACTGGGACGCAACTCAATGTCCTACAATTTCCTGAATTTCAACAAAATTGTGTCCCATTTCAGCTCAACACAGAACCATACTTTTATTTTGTTCGTTGAGCGTGGCTTGTATTTCTTGCAATAAGCTAAAAATAATTGGGTTAAATCCCCAAAGTCTCCACTCTGGGTTCCTGAGCAAGATCCTTAACTCCCGGACGCTCCCCGGGTGCCTTGTTATGGGGCGACAGTGGCGTTGGATGTAGGAGTTCGCCCTGAAATCGAAGGATTGACGGTTCAAGCCCCGGCTCCGATTTCAGTGTCGTTGTGTCCTTGGGCAAGACACTTGACCTGCATTGTCTACTGATGGTGGTCAGAGCGCCCGGTGGCGCCAGTGTACGGCAGTGAGCCCCAGTGCAGCTGTGGCTACAATGTAGCTTGCCACCATCTGTGTGTGTGAATGGGTGAATGACTGAATGTAAAGCGCTTTGGTCAAGTCTCCTGACTTGACCAAAGCGCTATAGAAGTACAGACCATTTACCATTTACAATGGCAGCCCACTGCTCCCCAAGGTGATGAGTTAAATGCAGAGGTAAATTTCTCCAATGTGAGATCGATAAAGTTCACTTCCTTTCTATTTTATTCTGCACTCGATTCCATTCTATTCTAAGAAAACCAACCGAACCCTACCTATCACTGCAGAGGCTCTCCTGCCCATGTTTTTGGGTTTAACAGTGTCCTTGATGCGCTCCAGCTCTTCCTCGTAGCGCTTCTTTTCACGGGCCGCCCCTTCCTTGGCTTCCTTGAGGGCAGCCTCGAGCGCCTGGACCCGCGTCGCCGTGGCACGCAGGCGCTTCTCCATTTTGGGGATCTCACAGCGAAGGCTGGCGTTGTCTCTCAGCAGCTGCAGAAACAGAGCAATGAGACTTAAAATATTCTAATGATTAATATTTGTTGTAAGAAGAACTTATGCAGGATCATTGTGTGTTTTACCTGCTTGTGAACCTTTGTGAGATGTTCAAGGTTGCTCTCCAGGAAGCTGATCTTTTGTTTCTGAGCAACGCTGGCTTCTGAATCATCCAAGTCTTGCCCATTCTGTTAAAGCAGAGCTCTATCTTATTGCATTTCCTAGGAAAATCATTTAAACCCCTTATATTATTCCAGATTTTCCACATAAACATACTGTCAATTACAACCCCATCATCCTATGTTGGTTATTTTTAAACACATCGATACAGGTCCAATAAGTAAGCAGCATTATGTGGTGAGGATCCTCTTCCAGAGAATCTTAGGAAAACCATCCTTAGACTCTCCCTCCTATCAGACTGTCTGGAAAACTGTCACTAAATCTGAGGCTAAAGGACATGATTAGAGGAAGATTTGCATTTTGTGTGAGTTAAAGGAAACGCCTGGATGTGTCTCTTTTTATCTCATCAGGCTGAGAGGCTTAAGATGAGCACCATGCTAAAGCCTCAGGCCCCTAATTTACATCCGCTACCTTTGAAGAATCAGATGGCCTACTTATCGCAGACGTCGTCTCTTGTGTTCCCTGGATTCATTAAAAAATCATCAGGGTGCAAATTAAGCAAAGCCAACAGACGGATGAGCAAAATCTGAAGATGTTGGTCTCGCTTTAGGTAGACGCCCTGGTCTGATCAGTGATGATGATTATCACGCTGAAAATAATTGCCCTTTTTGGTAAGTTTCTTGGTAAGTCTCAGTCAACAGAGCTTAGAAAATGTTTTATTGTAAAGATAGAAGTCTTTGTTCTACCTTTCTTACTCTTCTGGATAAATCTTGCACAAAAAGTCTCCGCAAACTGTGAAGCGTCTGCAGCTCCCGAGCCTAAGAGGTAGATAGAAAGATAAAGAGAAGGAGGGAGAGGGACAGAAAAGAATCAGATGTTTGTAGACATAACAAGCATACCTTATACCACGTCGCTGCAACCTTTGTTCTCAGTGGTTCGACCTTTAAAGACGGTGTGATCTGTGAGATGCAACTCATAACTAAGGGAGTTTAAAGGCAGATCTCAGAGTTTATACAGGAATGAAATACTCTAATTTAATGCCTTTTAATCCTCTTAGAAATAATCTTAATGCCATCAACAAGTATCCATGACTCTATATCTATATATATATATAGCCTTTCGACTGTAAAGATGGCGAATGATTTTTCCGTGTTTTATATATATATATATATATATATATATATATATATATATATATATATATATATATATATATATATATATATATATATATAAATATATATATATATGCAGAAATATAAAACACGGCAAAATCGTCATCTTTACAATCGACAGACTGCAGCCATGTCCCGAACTCCTCATTTTCCAGCCACAAGTCCAAACATATGGCTTTACGATCAACCGGAAGCAGTTCGGCGCAAACATGCGGCATCAGTTAGATAAAACTGCTTTGTAAACTTACATTTTTTTTAAATCAAGCATTTTAAATGCCGGGCTGCTAAGTTTTCCAGGGTTTTCCAGGGTCTGTCTGCATGGAGTTTTCATGTTCTCCCTGAGCATGCTTGGGTTCTCTCTGGGTACTCCTGCTTCCTCCCACAGTCCAAAAACAAGACTGTTAGGTTAAATGGCTTCTCTAAATTGTCCTTAGGTGTGAGTGTGTGTATGTCCTGTCTGTCTCTGTGTTGACCTGTGATGGACTGGCGACCTGTCCAGGGTGGACCCCGCCTCTCGCCCATTGACTGCTGGAGATAGGCACCAGCACCCTTCGCGACCCCACTCGGGACAAGCGTGTCAGATAATGGCAGAGATGGGGACTCGAGTTTGTGACTCGTACTCGAGTCGCACTTAAGTTGCATATTTAATGACTTTAGACTCGACTTAGACTTGCATTTGGAGGACTTCAGACTCGACTAAGACTCGTGATTTCTGACTTGTGAACAATATTTTATTTTTACGTGTTTTTTGTTTTACTAACTTGACTGATCGCCCCTCGCCTGAACCGCACAAAGCAGAGGTAAAAAAACAACAAAAAATTGGCAGAAGGGCTGTCAAATTTTCACTTAGCATTGACGTCACTGACGCAACGCTACGTGACATATATGCCCGTGCGCATGCATGCACAATCGCCAAGCCAAGTTTTAAAAACTTCATGGTAGTCGTAGAGGAGAAATATGTTGTGAATAATGTTGTGAATTGGCACTAAATAAATGAACTGAATTGAATTTAAAATACTAACTGCCAAGTCGGTTCTGTCTGTTCCAGGGAATTAAGTTACAAAAAGTTATTGCCACAATGTTTCTTTTATGAAAGAATTGTTATTGTCCTGGTATTTATTTAGGGTTTTTATTTATCTGTTGTAGTTGCTAACTTCATATGTATTAATAAAAGGCAGGATTGTGATTGTTTTTTTCCACAGCCCTCATTTTCACTTAAAAATAAAAGAGCAGACATTTACTCCTAAAACTAGAAAAAGTTGTAACCACAAATGTCAGGTAAATACTGTAAGAAAATTGTTGTTTTTGAAAGAAAAAAAATAAAGATGCAAAATTTAACTCGGAAAAAAATGTGTGTGTGTGCTTTTTTAAATTGTATTTTTCATTTAGCAGTTCAAGATAATGATCATTCCATAGATGTAATAGTGACCTTTAAGCTATACCGTCTCAGTGACGGAGATGAAAACACAAGGAGAAACAAGCAAATTATTGCACTTATTTTAATTAATCGAGTGATTAGAATTTATTGTGCGATTAATTGATAATTGTGACAGGCCTTCTCAAGACTTGAGACTTGACTTGGACTTGCAAAAAATGACTTGTGAACATGTCTGGATAATGGATGGATGGATGGATGGATTTTGAATGACGTTTAATGCAAATCGAGGCCTTAATTTAAAAAAAAATATAATTTAATGACTTTTAATTAGTTTTAATGACCTGCGGAAACCCTGGATCTCCTTATCTGTGGTACAAAGCAAAATGCTGATTAATCATACCAAGCAAAAAAAGCTCCAAAACCATCTACTGACCTACCTACCTGCCTAGCTAACTACCTGGATAGCTTGTTACCTAGCTAGCCAACAAACTACCCACTTATATGGCTAGTTAGCTACTTACCTGCCTACTTATCTACCCACTCACCTGACAAACAAACTAGCAAGCTAACTAGCTACCTGCCTACCAACCCACCTACCTACACTCCATGCCACCTACGTACATACCTGGTTAGCTGGTAAGCTACCTTCCCAGCTACCTACCTGCTTTCCTAGCAGCTATGGTGACCAGATGTCCCAGACAGTCCCTACTTTAAATGAATGATTTCACTTCCCCTTTCCCAAAAAGAATTGTACTGGTTAACCACCCATGCTACCAAGCTTCTTACCTATATACCAGACATGGGCAATGTGGAGTCAACAAGTCATCTCCATGTCATGTATTTAATCTACCCAGCCAATTAACCAGGTGAGTCCAATCTGCACAGGTTAATTCACGGTGAAGATTGGACTCACCTGCTTCAGTGGCTGGGTAGAACAAATACATGACATAGAGATGACTTGTTGACTCCACATTGCCCATGTCTGCTATATACTAGCAATCTAGCTATGAATTTAGCTACCTGCATATCTACTAGTTTTGCACTGATGTCATTTTTTGGCCCTGACACCTGGCTGTGCAGCATTGGCCGATACCGATACCATCTGCTTGAAATTCATGTCTGTGTGTATATATGAAAAACTGCAGACAACTTGGATATTAAATAATTGCCATCATGGCTTCATGTCAAGCTGCTGCCTACCTTTATGAAGCAGGAAAAAGACTAATACGAAGTGAATCCAGTAGAACTTTTTATTGCCTACCTGGAATGGGTGACAATAGTTGAAACTTTTGGCACTCAGAATGGTATCGGTACCCTATTTGTTGGTACTCACCAATACCGATACCACCATTTTAGTGCTGGATCGGGGCCCAGCCTGATACTGGTATCGGTGCAACACTAATATCTACCTACCTAGCAAGTTACCTACTTTGTCATATGAGGACCATAGATGGCTACAACCTTATGACAACGGATGACCAAACACCCAGAGCAAAATCTATTTATATTAAACATTCCTTATCAATCAACATTTATTCCCCATGTACTTCTAAAAGGACCTCTAAGAATAACTGACCTCAAACCTGTTACTAATATGAACTCAAGGACACATTTATTGGCACCTCTGCTAAACACAATTCATTGTGATGTCATAATTTTACATTTTAGAAAAACAACTATTTGTTTTATCTCATTCATTTAGAGGCAGGTAATTTAACATCAATTTAGATTATATATATATATATATATATATATATATATATATATATATATATATATATATATATATATATATATATATATATATATATATATATATATATATATATATATATATATCATCCAGTCAGATTGATTCACAGTTTTCTTTCTAAGGAAAACCAGTTGGTTGCATCGACTCATTGACTCGATTGCAATCCCTCAAACTAGGAACATTAGGAACTTCTTAGTGGCTCAGTTATTGGACCTTCTAACAATCTCTTTTAATCAATGTATTGTTGTAATTTTAACTAACACAGACCGATTTCTTTTAGGCTCTGGCTGAAAACAAAGTCTCCAACACTCAGTACCACCAGGACTGGCATCTAGGGCTCTTTAGGTCTCTATGACAACCTCTGGATGCCATCTACATACAAACTGGTTGTTTAGAAACGTTCTTCTTTTTGCCCCTACCTTATGTAAACATAACTCTAACAGAAGCTTTGCACAATAGTCTACACTGTTGTCCACTAAATAACCATGTTAAATACAGTGATGGGACTAACGGCGTTGAAACTAACGCCGTTACCTTGTTTTAGTAACGAGTAATCTAACTAATTACTTTGACTGTAACTATAACGCAGTTACCATTGCTGGCACCCCGTTACTGCGCGTTACTCAGGTCGCACAATGAACCTTTTTTCATGATAGGACTCGTGCGCAGCTGCGTGAAGCTGACACCCCACCCACGTCAAAAAACTCTGCAAATAGACTGAATGGTTAGCGCAACGTTAGTGAAGATTTGTGCAGAAAAAAATATTGTTTGTGCTACTTTTGTTTAAGAGATATTAAAGATTATTTTTTAGGTCATCCAGAGGTGCGTGCCTTGTCATGAGAGAGGGGAGGATGAGAATGGCTGATGTACAGTGAGATTCCGTCTGTCAGTTGAATAGGAGGGTGTTAACGTACAACACACACAGAGAGATGGAGAGTGAGGATGACTCCAGCAGCAAAACAGCGTTTTCCACATGGAAATACCGGTGTTACGTCGAGCTGCGTTTCCCCATCACATACGGTTTCCCCTGCATCTCCGCACAGCGCAGGCGGCATGATTCACCGCGCAAGAGACAGGAAACGAGCATGCTCGCTAAAGGCGCGCAACAGTCGCCCTGTGCTCGCGCCACAGGAGAACTATGGAGAGCGTGAACGATCAAATGAACCTGACAACAGCCAGAAATGATAGCCTATATGGAGAAAGGGAGAAATCTGGATGGATGGATGGATGGATGGATGGATGGTTGGATGGATGGATGGATGGATGGATGGATGGATGGATGGATGGATGGATGGATGGATGGATGGATGGATGGATGGATGGATGGATGGATGGATGGATGGATGGATGGATGGATGGATGGATGGATAGATGGATGGATACTCTGCCTTTTCAACCTACTGTATTTTTTATTTTAAACATTATTTGATGGCCTTTGTGGCAGGGATGGAGATCCATATTTTATGTCACACACAGAGTATACATCTAGATAGATAGATGGATAGATAGATGTTGCAGTATCTATAACAACCCAAACACACAGGATTTCAGAATTAGACATCCCCAGTTATTAATTTCATATACTCACCGGATCAGAATGTCCTGTTATAAAACTTCACATGGCGTTCCCCCCTGATGTCATTTACGTTGAGTTGCAATAAATGCTAAACTCTCTGCAGGTTCTTGTCTTTGTCGTCCGCTCTATTCAGCTGGCTTTGGAAACACATGGCGAGAAGGTGGGGGCCGGGTGGTGAAGGTTACGGGGCGAGAAACGCAAAAGTAACGCAATAGTTACTTTTACTAGTAACTAGTTACTTTTATTGTGGAGTAACTCAGTTAGTAACTCAGTTACTTTTTGGGAGAAGTAACTAGTAACTATAACTAATTACTTTTTAAAAGTAACGTGCCCAACACTGGTTAAATAACAGATAGGTGTTGATGTTTCATCCTTAACTGCTGCAAAAAGACTTTTGAAAATTGAAGAACTAACTGACCACAGTCTCCTCCAGTCCTTTCAGGTCCTGCCTGGCCTGTTCCCGTTTGTCCTGCAGCAACCTGCAGCACAATAATCAGGTTATAAGGACGGCCATGTGCACCTGCCTATGGGAACAGGTTCTCCTGTGACTAAATATAAAGCTTTACGTGAGCTCCTGTAGCTGGCGGCTCTTCTCCTGTTCGGTCGCTTTGAGCTTCTCATGCTCCACTTTCAGCCTCTCCTGCTCCAGTACGATCTCCTGGTTAGAACTGTGCAGACGGCAGGAACAGAATCACTACAGGTTCTTGCACTATAATTGACAGGGTGAGATGTTTTCGTAGTGGTTTTTCTTACTCCTGCAGCTCCGTGATCAGCTTCTCCTTTTGGTCCAGCTCATCTCTCAAGCTGCTGATCTGCTTCTGATGGGCCTCTCTGTGGGACTGGATCTGCTTCTCCACAGCCTCCTGACACACAGCCATGCAGGCGCACGTTTAACAAGCTGGCATGTCTCAGAGCAGATTTAAGAGCTGTAGACTATACCTTGACTTCATTAGCAGACTGGATCTCATTATCCTTTTCCATGGAATTAACTCTCTCTGAAAAGACAAAAAAATAAAATAAATGGATTAGGTATGGACTGAACAAGCTGCTTTGTTTGTTTACATTTTGACATACTGCTATATCTGTGTTAATTGTGCTTTGGTATTCGCTGTGTCCATAAAATGAACTTGGTGGTTGAATTGTGGAGAATCTAAGCTTTCCAACGATGTCTAACATGTCTATATTGGTAAACATTATACCGGTTTAATTTTCATGTTTCTGAGTAATTATTTGTAAACGGTGGGTTTTGAGAGGTTAAGACATATGTTTTAGATTAGTATTTATTTTATTTTATTTTAAATTCCAGAGGATTTTCTTCTAAAATCAAATATTCCAAGGTGTTCATTGTGATGCTAATCACTGTAAGGTTTGAAGGGCCTTGGAATGGGATACAGGTGTCACAGTCTTGGTTTTGTTATGTTTATTTAGCTTTACTTTGCTCCTTGTTTTAGTGTTTAACTATTATTTTGTTGTTTTCTTGTTAGTTCCTGTCTTCCAGGTTTTCCATTTGTTGTTCTCTGCTGCCCCCTTGTGTCCTCTTTCCCTAGCTCTGTTTTCTGCTCTGTCCTCACCTGTTTTCAATCCTCTCGTTAGCCCTCTCTTTGTCTCCGTCCCCTTTAAAAGCCTCCCTCTTCAGTTCCTGTTTGCTGGATCCTCGTCTAACGTCTGTCTGCTTACCTCGTCTCTCCCTGGCTCCTAGTGTTTGGTTTCCCCTGATGTCTCCTTGGTTCTGGTTTGTTATTTTTGTTGGATTTTTTGATTCCTGCCTCTGTACCTGTGGACCTCATTAAACCCACCTAAATTCACCTCAGCCTACTTGCCTCTGCTTTTGGGTCCTCAATCCAACACCAATCGTGACAGCAGGCCTACAGTATCAAAGATCTCCCACCCTACACGGGCTTTCCCACATTTTCATTCCTGAATTGTTTTCACTTCTAAAAGCAAACAGTTCCAATTAAATTCCCAGCAGTTGCATCAAAATGCTGTTTAATTGTCCCATAACCTAAACGATCTACCTGTCACTATCTGCTGGTCTGCATTTTTGGTTCTGTTCAAGTTTTTACTTTGTGTTTTCAATTATGTTTTTATTTATGTTAATCTGCGTTTGCTGTTAATATTAATACAGTAGCAGCCATTCAAAATGGCTTTTCCCAGTCAAATACCAGCCCACTTCCCAGCAACTCCCAGCAAAATCCCCTCCAACTTCCAGCCACTTGCATATTTGTTTACTCTGACTCCACCATTTCACTGAATTACAGGGTCTGACCATATTTTAGTACAAAGATTGACATTTAAAAAGGAATTGAAGGGGATCCAGCCAAGGAGCCATCAAGGAAAATGGGGAAATTTTGAATGGCCACGAATGTATCATTTTGAATTAGTTCTTAGTTTACTTCCTTGGTGTTTCTTAAGTTATTTTTTTTTTGTTTTTTGCATTATTGTGATTTATTAGTCTTTGCTCTAGTATTTATAATTGTTTTTCATCTTTAGATTATGTCTCCATTGGCACTATAGTCATTTCCAATCTTTTCCTCTGTCCTCTAGTGTTCCTTTGGTCATCCTGGATTATTTATTGCATCATCCTCGTTTCATTTCCTTTTTTTCTGGTTCTGATTTTGTCATGATCTGGCCTGTTTGCTACTCCCTAATTAGTAATTCCTCTCACCTGCCGTTTTCCCTCCCTGCCTCAATTACAATTTATTTCCCTCACCTGTTTCCTCTTGTTTAAATTCAGTTCAGCCTGAGCATTCAGTGCCAGATAATTTCTTGTCTTTCTGTCAGTCTGTTGTTTCAGTTTTAGTTCATGGTTCATGTCCTGGATCCTAGCAGCCAGTGGAAAGAGGGTTTTAGTGTTTGTCTCGTCTCCTGATCATCCACTGTTCCTCCCCTGCAGAGTCCTCTGGGTTTTTGGCTCAATATGTGGTGAGGTTCAGTTTTTATCTCAGTAAGCCTGGCTCCAGGGAGGAGACCAGTTTAAAGTCCTGCATCAAGTTCCGGTTCCACGTCCTGTCTCGGCTACCCTCTTCCACTGAGCCTGCCTGTCTGCACCTGATCCTGTCTGCTCCTGTGCCTGACCACCTGGTCATGCTTCTGGTACCAGTCAGACTCGCTCCTTGGGAACCTGTGGATGGCGGCGCCCCGCTCCCCTTCCTGCAGTGCCCGCAAGCCACAGCCCCACTTTAGTTTTTGTTTTATTTTAATTAAAGCTTTTGAACTTTCCTACTGACTGTCTCTCCTTGAATACTGGGTCCCTCTGTCCGCGTTTCATGACAGATTTTATTCGTCATTTTTTCTGGTTCTTCATTTTATTATACATTGTCTGTACATTTCAGTTTGATGTTCACCAGTGTCATGCATAAACACAACTTGAGTCACAACCTTCAGTGTGTTTTTTGTTCCCTGTTTTCGTACATGTTTGGAAGTGCTGGCTCCAGCAGTTTTTTTTTACCTTTGGCACTGATGACATTTCTCCTTATGGTGAACCAACAGAGAAGAATGTGCAAAACTGAAGATGGCTTTGCCACTTTTTTTCTACAACCGGACACCAATTTTGTTTTCGTTGAATGAATTTTAGAAAGCCACTTCTTTCCAAGTCAGCTCTTGACCCCATCGGTCTGAAGGGATCATTTTAAAGGTTGAAGGGCACTTCCCCCTAGCTCTTAAAATTATTGGGACACACTACACTGCAAAAAAATGAGATCTAAATAAGTCATTTCTTCTTAAAATAAGTGCATTTTTTCTTGAATTAAGGATTTAAATGAGACACTTTGCCAATGGAACAAGACAATTTTCACTTAAAAAAGGAAAAAAACAATTGCATTGTCCTTTTTCAAGTGCATTTTATCTAGATACCTTATTTTAAGAGTAAAAATATTCATTCCTTTGGCAAATCATCTTATTTACCTGCTCAAATTAAGGGTAAATACCCTTAATTTAAGACATTTTTACTCATTTTGAGATCATTTTTGCAGTGACGTTCGTGCAACACTGAGTGCTAGGTCCCAAAACGAGTGCAAGTGATAGAAATGGGACAGGGCCTTAAACTAGCACAGGTTAGCCTAGTAGTGGTGTGGGATGGGCTCACCCTCTGCTGTGATCCTGACTATCTCTTCATTCAGAAGGTCCACATTCTCTTCCAGCTGTCTTTTCTTGTGTTCCACGTTCTGGAGGCTGTCTGTCAGGGACTTGATCTTAGCCTCATGCTGGACACCAGCAGGAGAGGAGAAAACAAACAGCATCCATGAATGTTTGCCTTAAACTCACATGATGGCTGTCTACTCCTTAAACTGCTGTTTGATGATCTGAACAGAGCATCCGTCACCGTAGCGACGGCCTACTTATGGATGCATTCAGCTGCAGTTACCTGGGAGATGCGGAGCTGGCAGGCTGTCAGATCTCGCTCCGTCGCTTCCAGCTTCTGGCTGCTCTCGGTCTGGCTGCTCTCCAGCTGTTTGTTGCGCTTCACCATGGACTTCACCTCCGCCTTCATCTTGCTGATGTAGAGCCGGGCCACAGTGAACTCCTCATCAATCAGGCCGCTGCTCTCCTGTTGCTGAGTGGTTCAGAAACAGTAGATTGGTGCTTTGGTTTAGGGGGGGGGGGTGTCATAAATGATATGACCTCTGTTGACTCTGGTATTTTGGTTCCTTATTCTACTGAAACATTTGAGGTTTTAGATCAAATTTAAAATTGTAAACATAAATGTAATTTGACATTTGATGATCACTTTTTAAACAATGTTATAAAAACTTGTTCTCCCCATACTTGAAGTTTTTTCTTATTAAGAAACGCAATCATGTCTGACATCTTGGAAGTGAGTTACAACCATTTTCATCTCTTCTTGTTTTGTTACTTCACTGTTTTTTGAATGAATGTTATTAATGTTGTATTGTGTTATGTTGTTGAAACCTTTTTGCAGCAGATGATTCACCATTTTACGGAAGAGGATTAGAGCCACTGGGGAAAAAAAAGTTAACTGATTTTTTTATTTATTTCAGTTTAACATGGGAAAAAAAGTCAGAATTCAGAAAAAAAAAGGCTGAATTCTGACTTTTTTTCTCAGAATTCTGACTTTAATCTCAGAATTCTGACTTTAATTTCAGAATGTTGGATCTTAATGTAGATGGGCACCATGAAGGAAGAGATGTGGAGCACTCAGCTTCACTGACAAAGATGTGAGTTGTTTGAGGTGGCCAGTGACACATTGGTGGAAAATGACGGAATTAGGCAACTTTTTACGTGTCCGAGGGGTCCCCTCATTAATGGAGGAGCAGAAGGTCATTAAAACAAGAGAGCTAGTCTCTAAAACAGACACGGCTATGGCTAGATGCTAACATGTTTGTTAGCATCTGAGTCAGAATTCTGAGATTAAAGTTAGAATTCCGAAAAAAAGTCAGAATTCTGAGAAAAAAGAGAGAATTCCGAGCAAAAAGCCAGAATTCTGAGAAAAAAGTCAGAATTCCGAGAAAAAAGACAGAATTCCGAGAAAAAAGTCAGAATTCCGAGACTTTTTTCCCATATTAAACTGAAATAAAATTTAAAAATCAGTTAACTTTTTTTTTTTCCAGTGGTCCTAATCCTCTTCCGTACCATTTAATCCAAAGATGTAGTAAAATTAAATGAGCCACATAGGAATTAAATGAAAAAAAACAAAAAACGATTGAGGAGCGCCATCTTGTGGCTTGAATAATACAACATTAAACTTAATTGCTTCTGTCAGACTAAAATTTTAAGACTTCTTAGTATTTTACCAGGATTTTATGTGATACATTGAAAGAAAGAAATGAGTAACAAAACAACAGGAATAGTTTTATTTCACCTCTGCTAATGTTAGCCTTCCAGTGTTTACTCTGTAGGTTCCAGTCCAGTTGGACCTAAATTCGTCACCCAGCATGCATTGCACAGGTGAAAATATGGAGACCTCCATAGGCGACAAATATAACAAAGCATATATAAATTTTGGGGCATATTGATGAGTTTATCCTCTTAACAACCACCTGATTTTGGAAAATTCTCGCCTATTTTGCATTCCTAAGTGGAAACTGTAAGCCCACATTACATGTGTGATACATTATTCGAAAGCTAAAATCTTGAAGTTTATGAATATATAAATAAGAATTGGGTGAGTAAAGCACAGCACAAGCTGCATCAGTTCAAAGGTGACTCAAAGTTTTTTTTTTTTTTTTATTCTCTAAAATAATAGGTCTTTTTTTTAAAAGCAGTAATAAAGACATGCTTGCTTTTATTGTGTCTGCTTTGTTTGTTTACATTTTGACACGCTGCTATATCTGTGTTAATTGAGCTTTGGTGCTCGCTGTGTCCATTAAATAAACTTGGTGGTTGAATTGTGGAGAACCTAAGCTTTCCAACTATTTCTATCATGTCTGTATTGGTAAACATTTTACCAGTTTAATTTTCATGCATTTTGTAAACAGGTTTTGAGAGGTTATATATATTGTAATTTGTCATTTTTAAGTTAATAGCAAAAATCTCAGCATATTCAGTCCAACGTGTTTAGCTAGTGGTGAATCCCAGAGGGAAGCAGCTAAAACAGGAGGGCAGAGGGGCACCTTCATGTCATTGCTTCCCACAGCAATGCCGATCTCAGCCAGGTCCTTTAGTAACGATGACATCATCTCAGTGACCCTCTTCTTCTGGTGGTTGCTCATCTCCTTCAGCTTCTGCAGCTCAGAGTCAATGGAGGCCAAGCTGCTCTGAGGATGGACAGAAGCGCTCGCTTTAAAGGAGGAAAGAAGATCAAACTTCAAAGCATCGGAGGCTTTCGCTCCCTTACAGACTTCTGGTTCAGCTCCTCGCTGAGCGCCTCAAACTCCCTCGTTTTAATCTCCACCTCCTGACTCTTCTGGTCGTAGTTGAGGGCCAGCTCCTCCAGCGCCTGCAGCACCTCCTTCACCTCGTCCTTGGAGGCCTCGTTCTCGGACAGCAGCCTGTTCAGCTCCGTCTGCAGGGTGTCGTGGTCGTTGCGGGACGACTCCAACAGCTGGTGGGCGAGGAAAATACGTGCTCACTGTGATTTGACAGGATTTGCAGCTAACGATGAGACATAAAGGAAGGAGCAGATAGAGATGCATCACCTCCTCCTGGTCCAGCAGCTGCTGCTTCAGTTTCTCCACCTCCTGGGATTGCTGGTTGATCTCATCATCCTGGAGGCAAGGAAGGAAGACATAGAAGTCAATCAGTCAGTTAGTTAAAGTCCTCTTAACTAATCTAGAGTTTCCTACCTTGTCGTCCAGTTCCTTGTAGAGTTTGGCCACCTCTGCTTCATACTTCTCTTTCTCTGCCCCTGTGAGAGCCGGTCCAGGCTGGCTGCTCAGGGAGGGTTGGGGTGCAGCCTTATCGTTGTTGAGTGCAGCATCCAGGGCCCCCACCTCAGCCTTCGCCTTCTCCTTATCAAACTGCTCCTCCACTGGGACGCTCTCCCCTGCAGGGGGCAGCAGAGATTCAAACTCAGCTTCCTTTCATTTCTCCTTCATGTAATGCAGTTTCCTTTTTATGCAATACTCCATTGTGTCTGTTTGTGTGCGTGTTCTCGTGTTATGCATTAGTGACCCCATTCTCACCATGGTTGTTTTTATTTTGAGGAGAACTGCTGTTTTTTGTCATGGAAACAGAAGCGTTCTTTCTTTTGGGTCTAAAATAGGAGCAGTGTGGGAATTTAGCTTTGATTGAGGAGCTTCTCGTTCCAGTCGCTTTAACCTACTGGGTCGGTTCTTTAACCGGTAACTAGGTAACTCTAACCAAACATTTTTTTAAACATTATAACTTGGTTTGTTGGGTTAGAGAGGAGACAGGAAGGAGCCTCCTCATTTTTCACAGATGAACTTTATATCAAATAGACACGGTTTAGACTGTAAAGTAATGCTACTCTTTAAATGTTTATCACTTTGGTTAAGGCATGTATGGAGGGAATTTTGTTCCATTACTTTCACAAACAAAAAACATGTTTTGTAAATTGAAATTTTGATCAAATGAAATCAAATTTAAAGGTGAGGAAGAATTAATTTTTCATATTTATTTTTAAAGAAATGTTTTCCAAAATTTTGTTTTTTCAAAAACTCTTTTACAGATAAAATATTTTTAAGTTACATGTTTTTTTCAATTTTAACCTTTGCTGGGGAAGAATCTCAGTCATCCAGGTTCAGTGGAGTAAAAAGTTCACACATTTATTACTTAAGCAGAAGTATAGATAACACTCTGGTAAAAGTTGAAGTATCAACTTGACCTCTTTACTCAAGTAAAAGTGAAAAAGTATGTGCTCTAGAAACTACTTAAAGCATAAAAGTATAAAGTAACCTTTAAAAAAACAGCCAGATGCCACTATATGAACTGAAGGCTTAAAGGAATAGTACACCCAAAACATGATTAGCCTTCATTTTCTACTCACCCCCATGCTGAACAACACTCTGGAGTACTTTTTTGATATCTCAAATGCATCTGGAGATCTGGGAGGCTTCTTGCTGTCTGCTGATATTCAAATAATGGAGGTCTATGGCGCCCGAGGCAGAAAGGTCCATAAAAGTCCACAAAAAACGTGTCAATATTCCTCCATACTGCTCGTCCAATGTATTCCAAGTGTCCTGAGTGGGTAGCATCCATAATTTACTCGAAACGAAGTCATTTAGAATGTTTTTAGAGCATAAACAGTAGTGTATAGGATTTCCTAAAAGCGCGTTCACGAGTCTATGGAAACCGCGGCAGAACAAACCAGATGAAAGTGCGCATTCAGCTCTGCAAAGAACTCATGCTCTTCCTCAACACTGAAGTCCTCAGACATTTTTCTTTAAACCGAAGCCAAGAGTAACGAGTAACGATTGTTTTAAAAATTTAAGGAATAGAAAGAACAGATACTGGTGTGAAAATGTAATAAGTAGAAGTCAGAAGTAGGAAGAAAAATAAGTAATGGAGTAAAGTAATGATACCTAAATAGTGTACTTAAGTACAGTAACAAAGTGTTTGTTCTTCGTTGCTTGACACCTGAGTTTGTTTCCAGGTTTGAAGACGTTTCACTTCCCATCCAGGAAACTTTTTCAATTAAAAATGTCAGGAATAGTATTGAGTGCAAGGCTTTATAGTGTTGTCGACACTATAAAGCCAAAACTCAGTACTATTTGTGACATTTCCAATTGAAAAAGTTTCCTGGATGGGAAGCGAAACGTCTTCAAACCTGGAAACAAGTCCAGTGGATTGTTTTTTTTTTTTTTTTTTTTTTTACTTTTTGGGGATTTTAACCTTTAAAAATTTATTTTATCGTTTTTTTTTTAAGGTATATTTTTCTGATTGAGTTTCATGAAATGCGTTCCTTTCAAATTGCATTTTAATGATCACATTTTATTCACTTCTGGGGGCGGGCTTTCCCCTGAAGTGAGGAGGGAAGACGAGTATCTATTGGTCTGAAAGGAGGTTAGCAAAAACATTTTTATGGGCCAAGAGTGAACAGATTTGTATTGGGATTGAAGGGGAAGAGAATGAATCTAAATAAAATGATAAAACTTAATCTGAAAAAGAGAAAAAAAATGAAAATTAAACCTGTAAAGCAACAATTTTGAAAATTAAATGTAAAAAAGTTTACCCTCAAACCCCTTTTTTGGTTTTAATGTTTTTAAAAGTTAGATTTTTGTATTACATTTTTGTCAAATTTCAAAATGTTTCTAACTTTTTTCTATCTTCCATAAAGTTTCATTTTCTCATAACATTTCTACCACAGAGACTCCATGCAATTACACAGGGTCCCTCCTAGGGGGCACGCCCCCTCGCTTTGGGACCTATTGCTTTAAAGGTGCATACTTATATTATATATCTATACAAAAAAAACCAAGATTATGATGAAACACTGTTACATACACCAAATGTCCACCCTGATGTGTTTACGTCTTTTTTTTTTTTAGCTTAAATAGAATTGCAGCACTGGGTATGACAGGCAGTTATGGACAGATGTGGCGCCATCTGCTGGAAGTACTGCTGAACTCCCAGAAAGTCAGATGGTAATTGAGGCAGCTACTTAAAGTGTTTTTTAGGAAGCTTTTAGGCTTTTATGCTCTAAAAACATTCTAAATGACTTTGTTTCGAGTAAATTCTGGATGCTACCCACTCAGGACACTTGGAATACATTGGACGAGCAGTATGGAGGAATATTGACACGTTTTTTGTGGACTTTTATGGACCTTTCTGCCTCGGGCGCCATAGACCTCCATTATTTGAATGTCAGCAGACAGCAAGAAGCCTCCCAGATCTCCAGATGCATTTGAGATATCAAAAAAGTACTCCAGAGTGTTGTTCAGCATGGGGGTGAGTAGAAAATGAAGGCTAATCATGTTCTGGGTGTACTATTCCTTTAATAGAGCTCAAACCTTCTGCAACGCCTTGTGGTAAAGCAACTTCTCAGCTTGGTCCAATTAGTTAGGCGAGCAATCTTAGTGCAACAGCAACTCAAGGTTTGAAGCATGGGTAAAAATAAACTGTGTTTCAAACAGAATGCAATGTCTAGGTTGTCGAAAATAACAGACTTTTCAACACACTTAAAGTAAACTGATTGTCTGGTTCCCTTATTATTCCCCTTCTTTGATGATAATAACCTGCCTCCTCCTCCAAACTGCATGAATTGTCAGGATGGTCGACAGCTTCACATCAATGTGAGCCGCTGTTCATCTGTGATGAAGTTGAGCAGCACCCACATACTGATGCACATCTCCAAAGCATCCCAAGGTGGCCCCTCACCGTTCCTCCAGCGGTTCAGCTCGTTCTCCAGCCAGGTGATGGTCGTCCTCAGAGTCTTGTTCCTTTCCTTCTCCCTCTCCCACTTCTTCTTCCACTGCTCTGCAGTCAGCTCCACGTTCAGACTTACAGTGTTTTTGATCGTCTTTGCCCTGTTGAGTCAGACGTAGGAGAGTTGTTGGTATTTCATAGCTTTGATTTATGCTATTCTGGAGAGATGCCTTCCATCTTTCCTAAGCATATCCTCTCATTTCCCCTAGCCTCGTGAGACCATCCTGATCTCGCGAGCTTTCAAGGTTTCACTCGCAGATCAGTCTGGAGACTCTCCGTTAAAGAAAATTTGGAGCCGTTCACCAAACGAACGTCCAATCAGCGTTGGCTTTGAGGCGGGTTGAGGTGTGACGCAACGAGAAGCGCGACAGTTCAGTCTAAAGAACATGGCGGCTTCAGCCGATGAAACTAGTGTTAGCGTGGCTATCGAGCAAGTTTTATCGGAATTACAGAGTATTTCTTCACTGAAAGAAGAGCAAAACACTGCTCTGGAGGCTTTTCTCAGAGGAAAAGATGTTTTTGCTCTTCTCCCGACTGGTTTCAGCAAGAGTAGCCTGGGTTGTGGTTGTGTTTTCGTCGTCGCTCTGTTAGTACGTCATATGCTTCGTTGATCTGATTGGTTTATTTGGCCCGTCTATCACCAACATAGGCCAATCAGCTAACCAGTATTTTCGCCCCTTCCGAAAATTACTTCAACCGAAGGTTTTCATCTGCTTAAAACAACAAGACAGTGCTCGTATTTGTACCTCTGTCCAAAGAGCAGAGTCGTCCTGGTCTCCGCGTCGTTAAAAGAAGAAGGTGAGCAGCAGATGATCATGGTCGTCCGACAGTTTCCTCCCAGGGAGTCCTGCAGGATCCGGGTCATCTTGCTGTCTCTGTACGGCACATAGCTCTGGTCGAGAACAGAAACATAAGCAGGTATACCTGCTGGGCTTTAAAAGTGGACGAAACGTCTGTCCTTTCAGAACCAAACATGTGACAAACTGGTGTTTCCTTACTGATGGTACTCCTCTTTGTAACACTTTAGTGATATTAACTGTACCTGTAGTGGCTGGCAGGTCATGCTGTTTTTCAATCTACTTATGTATACATGTGTCTATATGTTAGGGATGTAAATAATTCATTCTCTTACAGAGAAGTGTCAATTTTTTATTAGATAACAATTTGTTCCATGTGATGAATTGATGACGTTTGCTTGAAAGAAAAAAAATTAAATAAAAAACAATCCACTGGAGTCTGTTTCCAAGTTTGAAGACGTTTCTCTTCCCATCTAGGAATCTTTTGCAATTCAAAATATCAGGAATAGCGTCGAGTTCAAGGTTTTATACAATAGCCCAACAAAGACTTATTTTTCTTTAGAAAACATGCAAATTGGAATGGATGAAGAGGTTGTTTGGCTTCTTTTGTTGAAGGGATTAACTCAGTTGCTGCATTGAAGGTTTTTGAACCAACAATTCCCTCTAACGACCCCCCCCCCCCCCTTTTCAGAGACATAGACAGGTATGTCTATTCACCCCTTCATTCCAAAGGGGTGGACCTCGTCGTCTGGCTTGATTGCTCTCATTCTTCACCAGTTTAGCTCTGCCCGGTTCCTCATTAACGTTAATCTGATCCACCTGTTTCCAGCTGCTTGTTTTCCAGCCGCCAGTGCCAGATTATTCGAGCCGTTGTGAGAGTAATTTTAGCCATCAAGTAATTTAGATTTTTTGCCTTGCCCTTGTCTGCTCTGTCTGCTGTGGTTTTTGCACTGTTTTCCTGGATCCTGCTGGTTACCAAACCTGGAATGTTTCACTGACTTCGGCTTCGACAGTGGACAATCTCCCTTTCATCTGGGATTGGATTGGACTTTGAACAGTGACTTTTTCCTCCTAGTCATGGTTAACCCGACATTCCAGTCACTAACCTGTGTTTTCTACCTCTGCAGGGAATCCGGTCACCCTCCCTGCTGACAATCAGACGCTCGCTGAGTTTTGTTCAAAATAAACTTAGACTTTATCGTCATTTTTTATTCAGAAATATCGTTCAGTACAGCTCTCAAGACATTTCCATTTTTTAAAGTGCAGCAGTGATAAAACGTATCAAATTTGTTAAAAAATCATCCTGAACCGTCTGTCTTACATTGAAAGATATTCTTTATTATTTATTGGCACATTTATAATCTAATGGTTAATTGTTTGTATAATATTTGATTGTTTAATGATGAATTAAATAAACAAATGTACATTTATTTATTTTATTCTACATTTCATTATTTTATGGTACATTTACACCTATTTTTTCATGCTATTTTTACTTCATTTTGTCCTAATCCTCCAAAAACAAAGAGTTCTCTTATTTCATTAGCTAGATACGGAGAATATGACATGACTGTAAAAATCCAAATCCATTTTATGCCAAGCTGTATAAAATAAAGATAAATAATTAAACTGAGCAGGTGGAGGCTCATGGTAACTTTGGAGGAGCTCCACAGCTCAGCTGGAAGAATCTGACGAGCTCAAGAAATCTGCTTTTTATGGAAGAGAATAAAAACGCTGTTTGAGTCTCAATGGTTGATGTTATGCAAATAAGTGGAAGTGGGTGATCTGGTCAGATTAGACAAAAACTGAACATTTTGACTCCAATGCAAACTAGATGGGGAGGAAAACTAAATGTTTACATCACCTTAAATAATCGACATTCCTTTATCAGGAACCAGAAAGCTAGAGTTGAAAGAAGGAGGAGAATTCAGGACAATCCTGAAAGAAAACCTGTCGGATGCTGAGCCTGACAGCTGCCCCAGGAATTAAACAATGTGTGAAGGATGTAGGAAGCATGTTTTTAATGCCTCACCGAGCCCTCGGCCAGGGCAGAGATGACGTTTCCCAACGATGACAGAGACTTGTTGATCATCTTTGCTTCGTCTAGAACTGTGCCCTCTGCTCCGGTTTTTCCAACCTTTGAATAAAACAAACCAAACAAGCTTCATTATCGAAAACAATCTTTTTATGACAACATCCAGAAGAATATCAGCACTTTCCTGGAGCCTTACAACACTGTTAGCTTATTGAAAAAGGAGCCGAGGAAGAATCTTTCCTGCCTTTTCACTCCCGGCCAGATCAACCAGGTACAGCTTTCCAGTCAGTTTCTGCTCCGTCTGAGTGTTTTCCTGCTTGATGTTGATGAGGAAGATGCTGTGACTCCGGGAGCTGTGCTCATTCATGTCTGAGTAGAACAGAGATAAATTAACAGAGCATCATGCAGTAAAATAACGACATTCTGCTGTAGAAAATGAAGACATTTTCAGAAGGAACTGTTTTCTATGGAAGCCTGTTTCTGCTGCATGAAAAATAAAAAACTGCCAAATAGAAAGTCATAATTATGAGATTTAAAGTGATAGTTTACAGTTTCAAAATCATAATTCTAGGTAAAAAAGTAATAATTATGAAATACAAAGTTTGAAGATCAAATATCTTAGAATTATGACTTTATTTCTCATAATTATGACTTTCTATTTGGCAGTTTTTACTTTCATGTGGCAGAAATGGGCTTCCGTATTTTACCACCTTTAAAAGCTGGAAGTTAAGGTTGCATCTAAAATGATTTATAATGTAAAGTTTGTTTATGTTAAATCTATGGAGTGAGTCTTGTTCCTTTAGAGTTTCAAGCCCTGCTATTATTTATAGAAATTAAAACAAAAGAAATGAAAAAGCAATGCAGAAATAACATTTTAACAATATAAATATATTGTAGAGCCTTATCCTGGGTCACGATTTTCCGTCATTAATGCTGAATCTTTAAACCCCCAAGGGCACCGTTACATGTACGGGGAACTAGCAGGCCCCCTTACAGGCGGGGCCCTTTGCTGGTTTAGGGCCCCAGGCTATTTTGTACGGTGGCTGAGAAGTGCAAAACACAGTTACAATTCAAAAACCCATTAACAAATAAAAAACAAAATAACATTTGAAGAAACAAAATTATATTTTATGAAACAAATGTATTTTTGAAAAAAAAAGTAAAAAATTTTAAAAACAAATTTACATCAAAAAAAAAATTGACCGTTCGGAAACACTTGTACAAGTGCAAAGACAAAACTGCAAGCGGCAAAACACAGTTACATAGCCAAAAACAAATTAACAAAAGACGGGTACAGGGAAAGGGAATGTCCCAGTGGCTGGATGTGACGTCACGATTAGAGGTGAGTATTGGCATGAGTTTTGCAATTCGATACATGTCGCGATACTTGGGTCACGATACGATATTATCACGATATTGCAGTATCACTATATTGCCATATTTTCCCCAGCTATTAAAATCAAACGATGAGATAAAACAGCAAGTGCTGTATATTTTCATCAGAAAATATTGATAAGGTATTATTATCCATGTTGTTTGGGGTTTTCTTCCACTGTGACTGCCTCAAATACAGATATGGTGCTACACGCACAGTTAAAGGGCTCCACAGCGCTTTCTGCCAGAGTGGTGGTGCAGAGGCAGCCCCTTTCCCCATCAATGTTTTATGTAACTATTTTTTTTTGTGAAAATCGATACTAAGAAGTGAAAGATCGATATTATATTGGGCAGCCGAATATCACGATATATCGCCAAAATGATTATTTCCCACACCCCTAGTCACGATTTCCCTGACTTGTAGTACAAACAGCTCAATCTGTAGTCCTCCTGCTTAACGTGAAAAGTCAGCGGCGATTTTATTATTGTGGAGCAAATTTCAGCCAATTTACACCATTTTGTTCTTCGTGCGGACGGTCTCTGGAACTTTTACGGGACACGGACCAGGTGACAGGACCACCGGAACTGCTGCAACGCAGCCACTGCCACGAATTGAGCTCGGCCCTGCTGCTTGGTCCTGCCACCTGGTCCGAGTCCTGTAAAAGTTCCAGAGACCACAATAAGGGCAAAACATTGTTCGGTTAGCGTAAACTTAAGAAAAACAGCTTCAGTGCAATTCTTTCCATCTAAAATCGCCGCTGTCTTTTCATGTGAAGCAGGAGGACTACAGATTGAGCTGTTTGTACTACAAGTCAGGGTAATCGTGACGTCACATCCGGCCACTGGGACATTCCCTTTCCGTGTAGCAGTCTTTTGTTAATTTGTTTTTGGCTATGTAAGAAATATTTTTTATTGAATTTTATAACATAACAAAAAAAAGCAAGTGACAGAGATGCACTTAACACAGATTCTCATTAAATAACTTGGTCCCCAAAAAAAACAAACATAGATAATTAATAATGAACAACGCGAGAAAGAAAGAAAAATAATAAACAAATAATGAATAAAGGAAAAAAAAAAAAAATAATAATAATAATAATGATAATAATAATAATAATAATAAAACCCAGCCATCTCAGCACAGTTCTTTTAATGTCCTTTGTAACGTTTTAGAAACTTGGTCAACGGTGACCATGTCTTTTCAAATTTTGCTCCTTTTCCTCTGACAATATAAGTGAGTCGCTCCAGAGCCATACACGATGTCATCTCCTTCACCCACATGTGATTTGATGGTATATCCATTTTTTCCAGTATAGAGATATTAATCTCCTGGCCTGCAGGAGTCCAAAGTCAATCAATTTTAACTGTCTGGGGTTAAAGGCACAGTTCTCTGGATAAATACCCAAAACACACATTTTGGCCTCAGCAGGTACATTCACTCCAACAATCTCTGACAAAGTTTGCGTAACCAAGTTCCAATATTGTTGTAACTTTGGACACTCCCATACACAGTGAAAGAGAGCACCCTTTCCAACCAAACATTTACAGCAGATATCTGGGATGTTAGGTGCCCAGCGATTCAATCTAGTTTTTGGCTATGTAACTGTGTTTTGCCGCCTGCAGTTTTGTCTTTGCACTTGTACAAGTGTTTCCGAACGGTCAATTGTTTTTTTTAGATGTAAATTTGTTTCCCTATAATGTATTTTTTTTTCTCTAAAATGAAACTTTCTCTCACCTAAAATCTAACTTATTTAAAATGTGAATTTGTTTCCTAAAATGTAAATTTTTTTTCAAAAATTTTTTACTTTTTTTTTCAAAAATACGTTTCATAAAATATAATTTTGTTTCTTCAAATGGTATTTTGTTTTTTATTTGTTAATGTGTTTTTGAATTGTAACTGTGTTTTGCACTTCTCAGCCACCGTAATTAATTTTGCCTGTTTGGTAAGCCCCACCCTGGTGATCTGAGCAAATGTTGCCCCAATCCAGTCAGAAAGAAGAGCAGAATCAAGTATAAGTGCTGGCTTTGACTGTGGTGGCAGTCAGGAGACCCAGTGAGGCCAAACCCATGTGAACCAGCAGCTCTGAAGGCACTCAATGTGCAAACTCACTTGTGACCGCCACGTGTCTGTTGTTTTTGCCTTCGTCTATGGCATCCATTACTTCCTCAGGGCTGCACACAAATCTCTCGGTACATCCCTGCGGACACAAAGGCACATCACAAGGAAATGCTGTGTTCACCCGCTGCACAGCAGGAGGGGCTACACAGAGACACGGGAGACAATGACATAGTGCACAGTCTCAGAGAGAAGCATGGAGGAAAAAAAAAAGGCCTCATTACTTTATCTTTTCAATATTTTCAAGGTTTATCATCTGATCAGACTAACAACAGCTGAAGGCAGAGAAATCTCACCTTGACAAAGGGTACCCTGTTCTTGTCTTCATGCACAGACAGGTTCGTCTTTGTTACTGTACAGAAAAGTCAGATTAAAACTTTATGCAGTTAATTATTTGTCTTAATCAGGAGAGAAAAACCGATTTCCTACCGTCCAACAAGTCTCTGATTTTGTCCAAATAGATTTCGAAATACGAAACCTGCCAAACAAAGTTTCAGAAAGAACCTCTTCACTAACGTGTGCATGTGAGATCTGGATCATCGTGCTGAGCGATTACATACTTTGATGTGGAACTCCGAGTTCTCATCCATGGAGTAAATGTAGTTGAAGATGTCCTGGACGATCCTGGGAATGATTCCCATCATATCTGGGTCATGAAGTTTCCCCTTTAAAGGAAAAAAACAAAAACAAAAATCTATCTTCTCTGCAAAAAGTCATTTTTGCTTAAATTAAGTGAATTTTGTCTTGAATTGAGGAGATAAGTAAGACACCTTGCCAATGGAACAAGACAATTTACATTTAAAATAAGAAAAAAACAATTGCTTTGTCCTAATTCAAGTGAATATTATCTAATTCTCTTATTTTAGGAGTAGAAATACTCATTTCATTGGCATAACATCTTATTTACCTACTAAAATTAAGGGTAAATACACTTATTTTATGAAATTTTGTACTTATTTCTAGATGGTTTTTGCAGTGTTAACCTTTATTTAATTTCTTACACTGGAAAGATGATCTAGAAACAAGAAAAAATTCCGTAAATGAAGTGTATTTACCCTTAATGTGAGTAGGTAAATGAGATTGAGTTTGCCAATGGGATGAGTATTTTCACTCTTAAAACAAGATCATTAGATAATATGACCTTGAAATAAGACAATGGAATTGTTTTTTCTTATTTTAAATGTAAATTGTCTCATTCCATTGGCAAAATGTCTCACTTTCCTCCTCAATTCAAGAAAAATTGATTTATTTGAAGAAAAAATGACTCATGTAGATTTATATTTTTTGCAGTGACCTACCTGCTTTCTTTTTTAAAAACTTGTTTGTAATTTTTTGTGACACTTAAATGCTTCAGATCATCAAACTCATGTTAATATCAAAGACACAAGTGTAAACATAATGCAGATTTTAAAGAATGATTTCAAGTAAACTTGGTTAACTTTGGACTATCCTCACTGCAAAAACGAACTAGAAATAAGTACAAATTTCTTAAATTAAGTGTATTTACCCTTAATTTGAGTAGGTAAATTAGATTATGTGCCAATGGAATGAGTATTTTTACTCTTAAAATAAGATAATTAGATAATATGCACTTGAAATAAGACAATGCAATTGTGTTTTCTTATTTTAAGTGTAAACTGTCTTGTTCCATTGAAAAAAGGTCTCGTTTAGCTCCTCAATTCAAGAACAAATGCACTTATTTTAAGAAAAAAGGACTTATATAGATTTGGATTTTTTGCAGTGCTGTTGCATAACCCAAATATTTGAGTTTTTAGATCACATGCTGAATATCATGTCTCAGCTTTCTCTGGCTCCTTCTCCACGCTGATTGCCTTCATCCCCATGTTTCATGAGTCATCCCCAGCCGCAGAAGTCTGCCATGTTTAACCTGGTTCTGATCAAGGTTAATTCCCAAAGGGGAAGTTTTTCTCTCCACTGTTGCTTCATGCTTGCTCATCATGGAGGCTCAAACTACTCTGCTCATCGCTCCAGCTGGCATCCATCTCCAGTCCACCACCAGTTTCAGTCCTGGGGGGATTGATCCCTGTTCTCATTCATCAGGTCATGCATATAATATAAGTAAATTTCAGGGCTCATGTTTTCCGCCGACGTCTGAGCGCCAAAGACTTAAAACATTGCATCAGAAAAACTCTTCTAATTGTTGTTTCTGCTCTGTATTTTGTTTTAACTCAAATCTGTTGGACAGTCCCAGTTATTTAAGTGAGCCATCAAGTACCAAAACTAAAGCAATCATATTGTGGGGCAACTGCTATCCTACAACACTGTTTAAAGTTATAACTTACCTCCATTGTGTGCGTTTTGCCAGAAGACGTCTGTCCGTAAGCGAATATGGTTCCATTGTATCCCTCCAGAACATCTGCATCATTTATAGAACCCATCAGAACCCAGAGGTTGGACGTCGGCTGCTGGGCTGCACTGATACCGGAGGCTTACCTTTGACGATCTTCAGAGCCACGGCATTGTAGAACTGCAGCTGCGTCGTGTTGGACTGGAACACTCGGTCAAAGTAGTATGGTTTCCCCTGGCAACCACAAAGAGAGGATGGAGTAAGGAGCTTCTACTTTGAAACATGGAGGATGACCAACAAAAACCCATCAGTAGGGAAGACTTTGTTTTTTCTTTACTATGAATTGTTAAGTGTATTTACTGTTTGAGTATTTATGAGGCATAATTTAGACCCTGCAAAAGCTGAAGTACCTGGAAAGAAGGAGGATTCAGCATAGCAGGAAGTTTTAATGCAAAGTTATGAACCTTTGACCTTATGGTGCAAGGCATCAGTGCCAACCGCTGCTCCACCCCCTAAAATTAAACACGTTTTCACTTTGCTTTCAGGAAAAGAATGAGCTTTTCTTTATGATCTGCCTGATGTATTTAAAGTGTCTCCATCAGCTTTACATATTTGTTCTTCAGTTCAGTCACCCTGAATGTAGAGACTCTGAACATGATTTTTAAAGTCCTGTTAAAATAAATAATCCACTTGACTTTGTTTCCAAGTTTGAAGACGTTTCGCTTCCCATCCAGGAAGCTTTTTCAATTCAAAATGTTAGAAATAGCATTGAGTTCGAGGTTTTATAAAGTAGCCCATCAAAACCTTGTTCTGCAACACCCCATACCCGTCAAAAGGCTGGTTTATACTCAGAAAACTGCGTGTGTGTCGCAGTTAGCGGAGATATGCCCCGCCCCTTCCACAGACTCTCTGTCTGCACCATCTACTCCTCACTTTCTGACTATTCTCAGTCCCGCTCACCCTCTGGCTCATTCCACCACCAGCGCCCGGACCCTGGGGGAAGATTGTTCTCATTCATTTCCTAAGTTACTTATCCAAGTGAATGTCAATTCACAGCATCAAAGTCTTCTGCCAGGGCCCGAGCGCCAAATAACATTTCATTCATGTCAATAAACTTCTCTAATTGCAGCTTTTCTCTGGATGAATCTCTCCAGGTTGGAATAAATAATTAAATGCCAGCAATTTTGTTCAGATTGTGCCAGCAATAATTAAATTAAATAATTAAATATCTACTTATTTTATGCTACATTCACCTTTTGTAGCATTTAACTGTATAATATGGCCTTCCATCTAACTAAGGAATCACATCACAAAGATCCAGACCTCCACTTTTGGAATATTTACTGTAGTGAACAACAATGAGAGCCATCTTCTTTATTAATGGAAAAATAAGACCTCCTTCAGGAAGCTAAAAAATAAAATAAAATAAATGAAACCTCCAGACTGTCCTCATTGGTCCCCTTAGGGATGATTTAATTTAGTGGACAAAATCAGTTTTATTCTACAACTGCATCTACAAGTAAAGGTAATCATTGCATATAAACAATAAGAAAGAGATTGGTCAAAAATGGACGTCATGGTTGGGGTTCTACGGAGCCCCTAAAGGGACATGGAGGGGGAAAAAAGAACTTTTGCGAGATCTCGCAAAACTATTGCGGGATCTTGCAAAAGTTTATTTTTTTGCGAGATCCCGCAATACTTTTGTGAGATCCCGCAATAGTTTTGCAGGTTCTCGCAAAAGTATTGCGAGATCCTGCAATAGTTTTGCAAGATCTCGCAAAAGTATTGCGGGATCTCGCAAAAATATTGCGGGATCTCACAAAAGTTTATTTTTTTTTATTAGTATTGCGAGATCCCGCAATACTTTTGTGAGATCCCGCAATACTTTTGCAGGATCTCGCAAAAGTATTGCGAGATCCTGCAATAGTTTTGTGAGATCCCGCAATACTTTTGCAGGATCTCGCAAAAGTATTGCGAGATCCTGCAATAGTTTTGCAAGATCTCGCAAAAGTATTGCGGGATCTTGCAAAAATATTGCGGGATCTCACAAAAGTTTATTTTTTTTTATTAGTATTGCGAGATCCCGCAATACTTTTGCGAGATCTCGCGAAACTATTGCGGGATCTTGCAAAAGTTTATTTTTTTGCGAGATCCCGCAATACTTTTGTGAGAACCCGCAATACTTTTGCAGGATCTCGCAAAAGTATTGCGAGATCCTGCAATAGTTTTGTGAGATCCCGCAATACTTTTGCAGGATCTCGCAAAAGTATTGCGAGATCCTGCAATAGTTTTGCAAGATCTCGCAAAAGTATTGCGGGATCTTGCAAAAATATTGCGGGATCTCACAAAAGTTTATTTTTTTTTATTAGTATTGCGAGATCCCGCAATACTTTTGCGAGATCTCGCGAAACTATTGCGGGATCTTGCAAAAGTTTATTTTTTTGCGAGATCCCGCAATACTTTTGTGAGAACCCGCAATACTTTTGCAGGATCTCGCAAAAGTATTGCGAGATCCTGCAATAGTTTTGTGAGATCCCGCAATACTTTTGCAGGATCTCGCAAAAGTATTGCGAGATCCTGCAATAGTTTTGCAAGATCTCGCAAAAGTATTGTGGGATCTCGCAAAAATATTGCGGGATCTCACAAAAGTTTATTTTTTTTATTAGTATTGTGAGATCCCGCAATACTTTTGCGAGATCTCGCAAAACTATTGCGGGATCTCGCAAAAGTTTATTTTTTTATTAGTATTGCAAGATCCCGCAATACTTTTGTGAGATCCCGCAATACTTTTGTGAGATCCCGCAATACTTTTGCAGGATCTCGCAAAACTATTGCGGGATCTTGCAAAAGTTTATTTTTTTATTAGTATTGCAAGATCCCGCAATACTTTTGTGAGATCCCGCAATACTTTTGTGAGATCCCGCAATACTTTTGCAGGATCTCGCAATACTATTGCGGGATCTTGCAAAAGTTTAGTTTTTTGCGAGATCTCGCAAAAGTTTATTTTTTCTCTCAATGTCCCTTTAGGGCCTCCGTAGGGTTCCAAAGCTAACACTATACCAGACAAAGAAATATTTCAAATAAAAAAAACTTCCTCACGATACTTTAGAGCTTTGGGAAACATATTCTTCTAGAGCAGGAATGTCAAAATCAAATACACAGAGGGCCAAAAAACTAATTTGCTACAAGCCGAGGGCCGAACATAGCATATTGAACCAAGACCTAACACATTGCGTTTTTAAAAACAGAAAACAATAATATTAATAACCTTTTATTATATTAATCAACATATTAAGATAAATACATAAAATAAAGTGCATTATAAACTGAAAATGCATTACTGTGCTTTCAAATAGTAAAATAAGAAAATAAAGAAAAAAATTAAATTAGTTGAATTCTCTCTCATGGCTCTTATCTGCATTTGTTCCTAAGTCCATTCAACGGGAAAATATGAATAAATAAAACAAAATACAAAAGCTATTGCACACAGACAAAACAATACTGGGATCAATGGAAAAGCACGTCTTGTACAAAAAAATGTAAAAATGTGATGAATCAGGTCAGGGAAACCAGAATTCAGCCAGAGGTTCTTTGAAAAAGGAATTTATTAAACAAAAATTTGCACTAAACCTCACCGTTTTGTTCTTTGTTATTTTTATTGTAATGTATTTTGTTTTGTTTATGTTTTAAAAATGGAAAAATTCAATAAAAACTTGAATTACAAAAAAAAAATATTTTGGCGCAGCATTTGCGGAGCGCAGTTAGTGCACTCCGTCTCCTAAGACAACCGACTTCAGCCTGGCTTGGATCGTTAAAGGGGGGAAAAGCAAAAACCAAAACAATCCAAACATGACTTTGACATATGTGTTGTAGAGCGATTTATAAAAATGGGGAAAGTTCTCCTTCTGTTAGACCAGATTTAAAACACATTACCAGTGGAATGTTTGCACATACTGACCCATGATTAGGATCCAAACTAGGATCATAATGTCTGCAGCAGCTTTACTGCTTCAGGGCCTGAACGTCTCGCCTTTAATCGATATAAACTCTCAAGAAAAAATCTGAAATGGCTAAAATCTGATCTCTACTTTGAGCGTAAGCTTGGGGGCGGTTTGGTAAAGCAGGAGCAAATATCCTGTGGAACAGACCTCTAAGAAGTGGTTTATCGCTAAATTAGTCTCAATGTTACTAAATTAAAACAATGCTGCTGGAGAAGGTATTATTTCCCCTGAAGGGATGGAAACAAATTAAATACCCAATGAAAGTCTTTGCTTAGGGAGGGGAATATTTTTTCACATAGCTCTAGGTTGGTAAGAATTGCTTTTTTTTTCCTTTAATAGATTTAATCACCATTTAAGAACTGCATTTATATTCCAAATTGTGTTATCTTTGTCTAATAAAAGATGTGTGATGATCTGAGACGTTTAAGTTGAACCAGGAAGTATAAAGAGAGGAAATCTTTGAGGACTGAATCCTTTTTCACAGCATTTTTCACGCTGAAGTGTTTAAGAAATATAACTAGACTCAGGATGGTTCTGTTGGATTCAGCTTTCTTTTTTATACAGGATATTTTTTTATGAGCAGCAGCTGGTTTTGGACCATGGAGTTCAATGAAAACAGTTAAAAAAGCTGTAGATCTCTGCAACTCCTCCATATTTACCATGTTTCTGTTTTATCTGTGTCGTGTCTGATTAAAGGAAAACTGAAATATTGAGTCAGTGCCATTTTTCTTGAACTAAATGTAATAATTTGAGCAGGCAAGTAAGACAATTTGTCCTTAGAATAACATGTTTCTGTAGCGTAGTAATCAAAGTAAAGCATGGCTTTATAACCCAAATGTTCTGCTCCTTTCTCTGCAGGATGCTGTTTGTTCTCTAAAGATCCTCTGACATCTTCACAGAAAAGCTGCTTTTATACTGAGATTGAATTAATCCCAGTTGGATAATGAATCATCTCCACTACAAGGTGACTTGTGAACAGGGGCGGATTTACCACCAGGCAATACTAGGCAGCTGCCTAGGCCCCCGAGTTCCTGGGGGCCCCATAAAACTGTATGGTTAATACAACTATTCCTTATTTGTGCACATTAATGATGTTTTTGATAAAAATCCTTTCGCCAAAATGCCATCAGAACGCTAATAATATTAAGTGTGTCTCAGCCCCCCCCCCCTTCAGTGTCCACCATATTGGATCAGTCCATTTGCTGCACATGTTCAGAAAGGTCCAAACAGACAGCAGCAAACCATTTGAAAACAAACGATGCAAAGAGCAGTGTTGCCAACTTAGCGCTTTAGTCGCTATATTTAGCCACTTTTCAGACCCCTCTAGCACTTTGATTTCTAAAAAGCTCCTAGCGCCAAATCTAGAGACTTTTTTCTGCTACTGGAGACTTTGGAGACAACATCTAAAAGCAGCGAACTCTGCTCTCCAGAGCGAGTAGATTGGTAACCCCGCCTCCTGCTCTCCTCTATCTTGTCTGCTGTCATGATTCATGCAGCTATTATTTCATCCAAATGAAAAATGGAGAACAGATAAGCAGATCATGGCTTGTCTACAGTGAAAAGAAGGACTGGGTTATTTACTTTGGCCTTTTTGGAAACACAGGAAGGAGCAATCAGCTAAGTGAGCTTAGTGCTTGGAAAAAGTCTTTCATTCCTTTAGAGACAGCATGAAAAGTCAGCTGAGTACAAAACATAGAGAGGAAAACAAGAAGAAAAGGGACAAGAAGAGAGGGACACAACCTAGAACAGATAATGGATGTCTATTCTATTAACATTTCTATATCTGTAGAATGGGTCCGTTTTATTTTTTTGTCCTCTTAATTCAAAGGGGCCCCTCTCTTTCTTTGCCTGGGGCCCCAATTCTCCTAAATCTGCTGCTTCTAAAGCTCGTCGTTCACATAGTTGTTTATTTAAGGGTACCTGACACTGAAATACGGCATTCTGCCGATTTTCCTCCTTTAAACTTAAAATTGCTGTATTGAAAAATGTGAATTACAGCACCTGTGTGATTAAAAGCCTAGATTGTTGAATGCATATTGACTGTTGACTGAGAATACATGGAGGTCCAGGAGGATCCTGTGACCTTAGATAATCTCAGATATCTAAAAAACAAGATGAATGAAATCTCTCAAGAACAGCTGAATTATAAAATAATTTTTAATTGTAGCCTATAAATAGAAGTTCAAACTTAACCCTTTATAGGGGAGGTTACAGTTTTTGATCACTTGAATATCCCTTACAAATGGAGTCCCTCAGTGAGGTCTAGAAACACAAGATCTATGTCCAGCCATTCAGCAAAGATCCTGCTACATGGCTGTACATCTTATTTTGGTATTTGACCAATTAGATGAGCCCTTCAATGATATATTAGCTGCTGGAAATTAATTTAGAAAAAAAAGGGAAAAAGTCAAGGAAAAAAAAGGAAAAAGCTAATTGAAAAGTTAAAAAGTAAAGTTCAAAAGTTAATTAGCCTCGTTAACAATTATATTTAGGTTTATAAACTAAAAAAATGTAATGCCTCTAAGGTTATGTTGGACCATAAAATGTGTTTCTTTCACTCTGAGTGTTTTTCATGACTTCAAACTTAAGTACTTTTATTTTCTTAATATATTTGTGCAAGTTGGCCTTTCTTATTACATCAACATAGATTTTTCCCATAAAATATCCATATATTTTGAATGTTACAAAGGTCTTGTCCTGGATTCCAATAACAATTTCAAGCCAATAACAAAATATTGGCGTGAAATTTTGCAAATGCAAAAAACAGCAATAAGAATCATTCACAAAGCCGGACTTCGGGATCATACAAACACATTATTTCTAAAATCTAAATTGCTAAAATACCAGGACTTGATAGAATACCAAATTGCAGTATTCATGTTCAAAGTAAGACATAGCCTATTGGGAATATTCAAAAGATGTTCTCTGAAAGGGAGGGAGGGTACTATTTAAGGGGAAGACTAATAAATGTAGAACAACAATAAAAAGATTATGTTTATCAGTTTAGGGAGTTAAATTGTGGAACAAACTAAATGAGAACCTAAAGCAATGCCCAAACATATTCCTTTCCAAAAAAATGTACAAAGAATTTATTTTCAAAAGGTATAGAGAAGCATTCTAGAAAGTTTTGTTTGTGTTTTTTTTTTTTTTTGTTAATTTGTATATATGTATGAAGGTATATGTGTATACACTCACCGGCCACTTTATTAGGTACACCTGTCCAACTGGTCGTTAACTCTTAATTTCTAAGCAGCCAATCACATGGCGGCAACTCAGTGCATTTAGGCATGTAGACATGGTCAAGACAATCTCCTGCAGTTCAAGCCGAGCATCAGTATGGGGAAGAAAGGTGATTTGAGTGACTTTGAACGTGGCATGATTGTTGGTGCCAGAAGGGCTGGTCTGAGTATTTCAGAAAGTGCTGATCTACTGGGATTTTCACGCACAACCATCTCTAGGGTTTACAGAGAATGGTCCGAAAAAGAAAAAACATCCAGTGAGCGCCAGTTCTGTGGGCGGAAATGCCTTGTTGATGCCAGAGGTCAGAGGAGAATGGCCAGACTGGTTGGAGCTGATAGAAGGGCAACAGTGACTCAAATAACCACCCGTTACAACCAAGGTGGGCAGAAGAGCATCTCGGAACGCACAGTACGTCGAACTTTGAGGCAGATGGGCTACAGCAGCAGAAGACCACACCGGGTGCCACTCCTTTCAGCTAAGAACAGGAAACTGAGGCTACAATTTGCACAAGCTCATGGAAATTGGACAATAGAAGATTGGAAAAACGTTGCCTGGTCTGATGAGTCTCGATTTCTGCTGCGACATTCGGATGGTAGGGTCAGAATTTGGCGTCTACAACATGAAAGCATGGATCCATCCTGCCTTGTATCAACGGTTCAGGCTGGTGGTAGTGGTGTCATGGTGTGGGGAATATTTTCTTGGCACTCTTTGGGCCCCTTGGTACCAATTGAGCATCGTTGCAACGCCACAGCCTACCTGAGTATTGTTGCTGACCATGTCCGTCCCTTTATGACCACAATGTACCCAACTTCTGACGGCTACTTTCAGCAGGATAATGCGCCATGTCATAAAGCTGGAATCATCTCAGACTGGTTTCTTGAACATGACAATGAGTTCACTGTACTCAAATGGCCTCCACAGTCACCAGATCTCAATCCAATAGAGCATCTTTGGGATGTGGTGGAACGGGAGATTCGCATCATGGATGTGCAGCCGACAAATCTGCGGCAACTGTGTGATGCCATCATGTCAATATGGACCAAACTCCCTGAGGAATGCTTCCAGCACCTTGTTGAATCTATGCCACGAAGAACTGAGGCAGTTCTGAAGGCAAAAGGGGGTCCAACCCGTTACTAGCATGGGGTACCTAATAAAGTGGCCGGTGAGTGTACATATTTATGTATGTGTATGTGTAGGTAGGTATGTATTTATATATATATATATATATATATATATATATATATATATATATATATATATATATATCACAACATAAATATGAATATTGTAAATTAAAGAAATACAAGAATTAAAGGGGTAGGAGTACATAAGTTTTACTTCTTCCTACTCCTTTTTGCACATGTAATTGAGATATATTCATTTAGGAAAAAAGGGTTTGTTTGTTTCTCTCCAATGTTTTTAAACATTGTTTTATTGTTTTTTTTTCATTGCATGTTCGAAATAAAGAATAAAAAAAAATTAAAAAAATTTTGATTTGCAAAGAATTTCACTGAGTGCCCTATAAAGGGTTTAAAAAAAACAGTTTATAAAGCAGATAACATGTATAATATTGATAAGAAAAGATCATTCATTGACTCCAGATCTTCTGAAGAGGCCAAACACTCACCGCAATCTGCACACAGTCGTCCCCTATAAATTTGGGGATGTATTTGTCTCCGCGGGCCACCTCAGAGCTGTTCAGCGGCCTAAAGCGGCACATCACCTTGATGCTGCACTCCCCGGGGTCCGCCATGATCCTCTGCAACGGACGAAGAAGCCTCACAGAACCGCAGGACCCCGGAAAATTTAAAACACTAAAATTTCAGCTGAGTTAATAAAAGGAAAAAAAGATCAGATCTCCTTATGGAATATGGTCCCTCAGCTGCAAGAGACCAGCCTGATCAACCTCTGGAAAGGAACCAGTGTTCCTGAGATGAAAGGTAGTGTCTGGATGTCGGCGAGCGCACTGACTGCGTTATGAAAGAACCCAGCTGTTAGAGGGCAGAACGAAAGACCCAGAGCACATGTTCTTCTGAGCGAAGAACAATCACATGGCTCCTCAGGCTGCAGAGAGCTCATCTAAGTATGGCTGGATAATAAAAGGTTATTCTAGTCTCTGATCTGTTACATATTGATGTGGTCCGGATAAAAGGAACGAATTCTGCTGAAAAGAAGTGTTTTTAGGGCTCGTTCAATAAATTGGAAGGCTCTGTTAGTGACATGACGAGTGTGGGGGATTGTATTTGAGTCAATGAGTCAATGCAATCAACTGGTTTTCCTTAGATAGAAAACTTTGTATCAATTTGATCTGGTTGAACTGTAAAGTGCCTTGAGATGACATGTGTTGTGAATTTGGCGCTATATAAATAAACTGAATTGAAATTGAATTGAATTGAATTGTTTGAAGGTTTATTTGGCATCGTAGGTTGGAAACCCTTTAAAATCTGTCCTCTTTGTCTAAACACAGTAGGAAAGTTCATCTCTAGAAGCTACAATAGTGAGATGCCTTCAGAAAAGGTCCTGGAAGAAGCTCATAACACTCCACATGTTCTGCTCCTGCCTTCAGTGGTTTTTACTGATTATTCACACTCTACAGCATCAGATACATTCCCTTCCTCTCCAAAGGAGATAAGAACATAGTGCAACCCTACAGGAAGTTAGATCACCCTGATATGTACTCAAAATATCGTTGGGCATAACATGCCTGTGCAAAGTCTCAGTCATCCGGGTCATGGCTACCAATAAACAGGCTTAAATCTGACACAACCGGACTTTCATGGTTTTTCTGAAGATGTTTTAACACCTATCTATGAGTTTTGGTGAATTCTGTCATCTCAGAGCCATCTGTACTTGGAGGACTGATGTTTTTAAGCAACATGGAGGGCCAAGAACATTCCAAGTCAGATGCAAATCAAAGACACATCTGTTGTTCTTCTTGGTTTGTTAAAGTTGCTGGAGAAACAAAGAAATCACTGAACAGAATGTAGCAATATACACCAGACTGATGATCTGAAAACTAGTAGAAATCTACAACATATGATATAAAAGCGACACTAAGTTTTCACAGAGGACATTTCCATATTTTCCATCAACTCCTAAAAGATTTACGTTAAACAAAAATCCCTTTATTCCAACTGGAATGTCCTTCCATCCTCTAGAGTTTCAGCATTTAACTGTCTATATTTAAAAGCAAAGCACTTTGAGAACTAAGAACACATTTAGTATGAATGGCAACCATTGAAACAAAGATAATCTTTTTTTGTCAGAAAGCCAAAGGCAAAGATATTAACCTCTGCTGACCTCTGGTGGCTGAACCGAGACACTACAAGACATAAATGTTGTGCATGTAAATTTTTTTTTAAAGCGGAAAGGGTGGTTTTATAAAAAAAAATGGCAAAAATCCTCCACTATACCTTCAAACAGGCAGAATATGGAATTTAGGGTTAGAAATATGAAATCATAGTGTTTAGATAGTGGTCTCCATAACAAATGAATACTACATTTGATTAGAAATGTAGTTTAACAGAGCAAAAACGTTTCTCTCCAATGTCAGAACATGTGCAATAAAAGTTAAAAACTGCTGTTTTGTTGAAAAAAAGTGCACTTTAATACAGTTAATGGGAGCATTTATTAGAAAAGCAGACAATCTTTTCTTTGGAATAAAAAACATTCAGCTCAAAGTACTGAAATAAACAGGAAGTGTAACAGGGTTGTCAATTGACCTCTTTTCATTTCTATCTTTATACATAAAACAACAAACTGGTATTGAGAATCTTCACATTGCTTTGACTGTTATCTCTAACTGGACTGATTTATTCTTAAATCAAATGATTGATTCAACACATTTAGGCTCAACCACAAATAAATAAGCAAAAAAAAAAAAAAAACCCAGTAAAACAAGAGGGAACAACATAGACCAAGGAAAAAATAATGAAGAACTTCGAATCACATGGTAGATACATTAAAAATTTAGTTTAACATCATATACTTTGTGTATAACATCAGAATTAGAAATATACTTAATAAAATACGGTATATGGGTTATTCCAGTACTTAAAGGAATAGTACACCCAAAACATGATTAGCCTTCATTTTCTACTCACCCCCATGCTGAACAACACTCTGGAGTACTTTTTTGATATCTCAAATGCATCTGGAGATCTGGGAGGCTTCTTGCTGTCTGCTGACATTCAAATAATGGAGGTCTTTGGTGCCCGAGGCAGAAAGGTCCATAAAAGTCCACAAAAAACGTGTCAATATTCCTCCATACTGCTCGTCCAATGTATTCCAAGTGTCCTGAGTGGGTAGCGTCCATAATTTACTCGAAACGAAGTCATTTAGAATGTTTTTAGAGCATAAACAATAGTGTATAGGATTTCCTGAAAGCGCGTTCACGAGTCTACGGAAACCGCGGCAGACCAAACCAGCGCATTCAGCTCGGAACTCTGATTGCTTTGTTAAAACAAAAACATGTTATATTAGCTTTATGTTTACATGAACTGGATAGAATAAAGTATGTAATATTACCAACATCCAGCAGGGGGCAGCAAATACTGTTAAATAATATAACACTGTGTGACTCCATTCAAATATGGATCCAAAATAGCCAGGAAAGTGATTTATGTGTAGAAATTAAATGTATTCTGACCATCCATCATTTAAAACACTGTTAAAACCCACAGCCTGCTTTTTGCTGCATATTTAGCGCAAATATCAGGTAAAACTAAAACCATTTATCTAAACAAAACACGTGATTTGAGCAGCAAAGCTGATAAAAACACAGCGGTGGGAGCTTCATGGTTTGGGCTAAATTAGAGCAGTGGTTCGTGCGTAGATTCTATTGTGAAAAACATATTTTATTTAAACTGACAAGAAAAAGAGGAACAAGTCAGGCAAAAACTTTGGTTCATAAGAGTTTACTTACCGTTCTGTAAGGGACAGGCCTTACAGAAGAAATACAATAACAATGTGTAATAAGCCTCCAGAGCAAATTTTGCCGAATTAAAACTCTCAGTAAAAATTTTGACAATTTTCCAAGTACATCTATGCGGTCAGGTGAAATTCCATGTAAAGATTTTTTTTTCTCCATCAAATGTATGGAAGTAAAACAGTCTAGTTGATATCTGCGTTTTTTTTGTACACAAAAATTTTAAACAAGGAATTTTTATCTGGTGAAAAATCGGCTGCAAAAAAATAAATAAATAAATGCCTGCAAAAAAATATCTGCAGTTGAATTTTTTGCAGGCATATTTTTTACCAGACATAAACTCAGTGTAAGGAATTCAATTTGAAAAAAAAAAACCCATCAGTCTTTAAAATTCTGTGTACAAAAAAAAGGCAGTTTTTCTTCCATACAAATGTAATACAATATAAAATGTAATATTTTTCTGCATAGAAACGAATAATTGGAATCAATAAAATCTATGCTTCACATTTAAAATCCTGGATAACAAAACATCAAATGTGACACAAATCAATAACGAATGTTTAAAACCCTGAACTCATCGTTTGGCTGGGATCTCAGAGGGACACATCGTCTGTCCCTCAGACAGAAACTCAGGGGCCACCATGGTTACTAGACGCCAAGGCCAAAAGAAGCATCTCTTTGAGGCCGTTTGTCTCCACAGTAAACTATTTTCATCCCAGTCCAGCTGATCCCCGCTGATTCAGTCAGGTTCTAAACTGAAGCCCTTCCTACGTTTATTTGTCTCACTGTCCTTGTTTTGAGGCCACAAGGCAAAAAAACAAACAAAAAAACATAAATACAGACAGACTTTGAAAGCTGTAATCTTTTAATAATAAAGTAATTCAGAACAAAATGAAGAAATGCATCAGTCAGGCGTTGGTAGGACGCACACAATACTGATTTTCTGAGTACATTTTCATGATGAGCAGATAATTGACTATCAGGGAGGAAGAGGATATTTCAGCCTTCATCATTATCCTCTTTGGGGAATTAAAAATATAATTTTTTTTTCTAATTCTGCAGGTTGCAGAGTCATTATCTTTGAATAAAAGCACTGCAGTGTCGGCCATGTTTTTAATCTAGAAGCTGAGGAAACCTTTGCAGCAGAGCAGGAGCAGCTGGCCAAGGAAATGTCTGCAAAGGCGTTAAACTGAGCCAGACCAGAACCTTCCACACAGAAAGGTTAAACACAGGCTGGGTAGATCCACACTGATGATCCACACTGATGATCCACTGTGCCTCTCAGTTCAGCAAACATGACCCCCTTATATGTTTGGTCTACTTTTCCTTTGAGCAACACAATCTTTCCATATTTGTTCTTTAGACATTAACTGCTGCAGTTATTGCATTTCATTTGGTTTAAATATATATATATAGAAATAGATTTATATAAATAGAAATGTGACCTATAAGTTTGGTAACAAGAAATATGCAGGTAGATCCAAGAATACAATAAAAAAGGGAATTTATTTCAGGAAAATAATTCAAAAGGTAAAAGTCATACAAGATTAATCAAACAGAGTTGACTTACAGGTCCAGAACAGCAGGGGGCGCCAGAGAGTCAATGCTAAAGCTGGTTGTATGCAAAGATGTTGATGGGAAGTTAAGAGGAAAAAAAAAACTTCGCATAAATGGCTTAGAAATGAACGGCCTCGAGTCACAATTTCTACTGAATAATAGTTACATTTCTGAGATTAATAAAAGCAGATTTAGATCGTAATCTGCGTAAATGTGGGGATTTCTTTCAATAAAGAAAATGTATGTATAGAGAATAATCAGCAAAGGGAGGGTAACCCAGACTGGGTATCTGCTAATAAAAGCCGGCTGTTCACAGAGTGTATTCTAAAAGAAAGTTAGGTGGAAGGAAAAAGTGTGTTAGAGCACAAACAAATGGGATGACTGCAGCAGATTGGGAAACAAAACCCATCAAAAGTTTGTTGGGATTCCTAAAACAGCTGTGACATCAATTTTAATAAAAATAAGGGTTGTAGACACTTTTTGTATCTTTAATAAATTCTTATCAGCTGCAAAGCAACTGTAAGTTACTCAACATAAACACTGTTTTAATCTCACCTTTCTGTCTTTTCCCATAAACTTTAGACTTTAAGGTATCAGCAGGTTCGACAAGCATGAAAGTGGACTCCGCACAGGCCGAGGAACAACAAACAAGATAATTCCTCCCCATAAAACCCAGTTTACATGTTTGATGAGGGAAACCCTTTAACTACTTTGCTTTTTTCTATTTCAGCGCCTATAAAGGTCTTCATAGTACCTAAAAGTAAAAAAAAAGACAAAATCAAAGACCCTCATGAGGAAAATCCACCTAAATGAAAACAGGTTTTATAGGTTTGCATTTAGTCTCTTATCTGACAAAAGGGGAAAGTCTGTATGCAGTTTTTGATAAGGCCTTCGGCAAACACAGCAAAATCGTTTATCTTGAACAGCGATAGCTTATCTGCAATGAGCTCAGACTTTTTTTTTCCCAGGCAGAATATTTGTCAAGCATTTCTTTCATTTTCTCTGAAGGTATCTGAGCTGAATGTGTGATAAAGTATACATACTAGCAAGAGGCAGAGCATGCCGTAACACGAAACGCCTAAAACTGAAAAATATAGACCAGACAGTCGTCTGCATACGGTGAGATCCCAGATTGTTTTATGACCAGACAAAAACATTTAGAGCAGTGATGTCAGACCCACAGCAAACATAACGCTTTTCAAGGTGTTTAGCCGTTTATTTTGGTCTGTAGGTGGAACAAAAAAAAAAAAAAAGCTCAAAGCTCCAAAGGCCTCAGTTTGTTGTTATTCTGACAAATAAACTGCAGGTCAGTCCACAAAAATGTAAAACATCAAAAAACACACAATAAATACCTTAAAACTCATTAAAACACATTCCAGTTCCTTGGTTATTTTTTTTTTTTTACAGATAAAACATTTACACTTGTTCAGCTGTTCAGACAAACACTTGTTTTACAGTATTTTCATATGTACACTTTTCAGTAGTTGTTACACAGATAGTACTTTAGGATATCGTAGAAAAGCTGAAACTGCAAATGGAACATAAAAATAGGCATAAAACAAACAAAAACATATTTTGGCGGTTTCTTTCTAACATTTAATTGAACTTTATAGGCAGCCTGTATCGTTAGCATTTATAGGCAGCCCGTATCGTTAGCATTTATAGGCAGCCTGTATCGTTACCATTTATAGGCAGCCTGTATCGTTACCATTTATAGGCAGCCTGTATCGTTACCATTTTTTTCAGGAAAATGGCACGACTATAAATAAAATATAACCCTACAGTGATAAAAAAAAAAAAAAAATTCCAAAGAAAATATATAAGCCTTCTGTTGTTTTTACTCCATGTTTCCAACTGTTACAACTAGATGTAAAGCTAACGGCGTTAGCCAAACGGTAAACACCCTAAAATTCATCTAAAAAACTACTTTGTTGTAAGTTTAAATTATTATATTTTCATCACTAATATGAATATTTCAGCTATAAAATTAAAAACTATAAGTTAGCTACATGTTTATTCTTCTCTTTGTTGGCGCGTTATCAAAAAATGGCTGCCTGCTATCTGGCGAAAAGTTATTAACGTGTTTAATTTGCATTAGATTTAAAACTATAAATAGGGAACCAAACTTACTACCATCTCACATTATTTCCAGCTGTATTTCTAAAAGAAAATCTTTGGGATTCTGGCTAATATTGCTAACAAATATTAGCAATATTAGCAAATGTTTCTTTCCATTAGCAAGTATTTCTCCATATTTCATGAACCCAAACGGGGTAAAACATCTTAGCTCTTCAAGATAGAGTGAAACCTTTCCATAAATGATTTTATGACAAAAAAAATGTGTGTTTTAAGTTTTAATCATAATATTTCCATGACTATTATGGATATTTTAGCTATAAAATTAAAAACTATAAGTTAGCTACATGTTTATTCTTCTCTTTGTTGGCGCTTTATCAAAAAATGGCTGCCTGCTATCTGGAGAAAATTTATTAATGTGTTTAATTTGCATTAGATTTAAAACTATAAATAGAGAACCCAAACTCACTTCCATCCGACATTATTTCCAGCTGTATTTCTAAAAGAAAATGTTTGGGATTCTGGCTAATATGCTAACAATATTAACCAATATTTCTTTCTATTAGCCAGTATTTCTCCATATTTCATGAACTCAAACGCGGTAAAACATCTTAGCTCTTCAAGATAGTGAAACCTTTCCATAAATTATTTTATGACCAAAAAAATTCAGAAAATAATTTGTGTTTTAAGTTTTAATCATGACTATTATGGATATTTTAGCTATAAAATACCCACTAATAGCTAGCTACACGTTTACCCTTTGCTTTATTCATTAAATATGGCTGCTCGCAACTTAAAGAAATGTTCATAATATTTTTAAATGACATTATATTCAAAACTTTGAGTAGGGAACCTAAACTAGCTTCTATCTTACATTTTTTCTGCATGTATTTCGGTTAAATTAGATTAGTATCAAAATGATTCAAACATAGTAGCAACATTTTTTTTCTCTTAAGGACAGAGCAAAACCTTCTCCTTTATGACAGAAAGTATTAGAAGTGCAAATTAGTAACTTTTTTAATTAGCCATCAAGGTAGCCATTTTGGATTATGAGTTCAGGGCTGCTTTAGAAAACTACCAACATTTTCAGTCAACAATCTGACTTAAAGTCATCGGGACATGGCTGTTCCAAACGTTTCATTTCCGAATTCTCCCGAGTGGTGCCCAGCTTTACATAAGTGAATAAAGTGAAGTTGATTGCTCGATTATCAAGGGGGCGGGATTATTGTGGCGGAAGGTTGGAAAGCAAGTTTGATTGTGGCCGGTTTGTCGGAAGCATCTTGCTAACCGGTTAGCAACTTAGTGCTAGTAGGTTCCCAATGGGAAATTCCATTGGGACCAAGCAGCCCTAAGTTGCTAACCAGTTAGCAACTTAGTGCTAGTAGGTTCCCAATGGGAAATTCCATTGGGACCAAGTAGCCCTAAGTTGCTAACCGGTTAGCAACTTAGTGCTAGTAGGTTCCCAATGGCAAATTCCATTGGGACCAAGCAGCCCTAAGTTGCTAACCAGTTAGCAACTTAGTGCTAGCAGGTTCCCAATGGGAAATTCCATTGGGACCAAGTAGCACTAAATTGGTGACTTAGAAACGACGCTGTCAAGGAACGCTATGGACAGCAGAAACATGCAAGAGGAGGAGAGTTTAGTGTCGGAGGTCGTGGATGAGTTTCCTCCGTCATCCATTTTTTATTTAGAGGAGGAAAGCGGGGACGAAGATGTTGTGGAAGAGGACGCCAGGGCGGCAGAAGCTTGGTTTGGTGTAGAAGGCTTACAGCCGTACATGTTTGAGCCCTTGCCTCGCAACGCTGCCAGTTCTGTTAGCTCTACGCCTGCCGAAGACACAGACGTCCATCCCCGTGAACACTGGGACGGAACTCAATGGGAAAGGAAGTTATTCTGATTTCTTATTTAAACCGTAGCGTATATTAGCTGCGACAATTAAGATGCTACGACCAAAAAAAAGTGATTAACAGATTATTGGATTTATAACTGATTGGCCAGAGATGTTCAGGGTGACGTATAACTAACCTGCATAAAACAATGGAGGAAAAAAAGGAAATTTTCAAACTTTTCGGACAATATGGTCTGATAAAGAGTACATTTATATACATGTTTAAGCCAGTGATTTGAAATCTAAATATGATTTCCCTACGACTTTAAGAAGGATCACAGTTGTTATTTTGAACTTGTGACTTACAAGTTCTGACTCTCAGTTAAAATGAAAACCCTTAAACAAAAAAACCCCCAAAAGTTTGTTGAAGTTGAGGCTAGACTCAGCCAGGTAAGGTAAGACCTTTCTAATAATCTTCAATGATAGGGTGCAGAGTGAACCTAAAAAATTAAATAACACTGTTTGTCATTCTGGATACACTAGACCTAATGACATAACACCCCCCCCCCCCCCGCCCAAAAAGACAGAGAATATCCCCAACCTTATGTAATAGAGCCTCATATATTTGTTTATATGTCAATGGTTGACCACACTGTGCTACATAGTTCACTGGTTGAAAACTTTGCAGTTTTACTGAACGTTCAGGCATGTTGGACAGGAATATAATCACCAGCAGCAGCAGTCAAGGTTAGCTTAGCATTAAATATGAGCTACACTTATAAACAAAAATAGAAAGCAATAAATTAGGGTAAAATCTAAGTATCATCACTCGTACAGAGCTAAAGGCTAATGCACAGCCAACTGCATAAAGGCATAAGATCTCCCCCTTGGTCTAAGGCCGAAGCCTTCTTCTATTGCATACATCAACCAGAAGGTTAAAGCCTCCAGATTTATTATTTCCACTGTTTCACACAGCAGAATAAACGGTAAACAGACAGAAACTATCAAGCGCACGGACTTTTCAGACATTCACTTGGTAAAACTAGCGAGAGTACAAGAAGAAGAAGAACGGAGCGGCACATTTTAAGAAGATTACGGTTCTTCCTTGGCTATCCTTGTTGGGATCCACAGTGTACGGTACTGTGTTTCCACACCTATTCATCGAGTCGCTGGAGGGACGCAGGGAGAAGACGCACAATACTTATTTGCTCAAGCAGGGGTGGTTAAAACCCATCAAGCCTCGTCTTAACAGGACGACACAGACGCAGATCCCTGACAGGCCGTCGTTAGTGGTTGACCAGCCAACCAGTAAGCGGTTCCAATGCCGTTCTGTTGACAACTAGTCTGTTTACAATTGCATCCAGCAGGAGGACTCTAGTCCTTAACAAATATAACAATAAAAAAACAAAACAGAAGGAGCTTTTTTATAAATACAAAGTTTGATTGTTAATAATCCAACTTTTTTAGGCAGCAAAACCACAGATATCTGCATCACATTGGCATAAACTCTGTAACAGTAATAATGCACAATTAAATAAACCTAGAGACGAGTTTTAGATTGAATCCAGCAGCTCAGTGGAAGAACTTTAAACTAGACCAAGGCCGCGGTTTAGGTCTAGATGTTAACAGTAGAGCGACATCCTGCTGCGCCGCATGGCCTCGCTGATCAAATAGGCAGGGCTCACCTCCGGCTCCTCCTTCATCACCACAATGTTCTGCCATTCGCCGCACTGGTTGGACTTTTTGATTGTATCCACCACGCAAAGAGCATACAGGCAATCCTCAAAAGTGGCGGCCATGGTCAGCGGCCTCCCATCCCAGGTCCGCCGGTCGTCCTGGTCCTGGAAGGCCTGCCGCACGGCCTGGATCATTCGGATCGTCCCGGTGAGGTAAGGGGCCGGAATGTCGCTGAAGGCCTTTTCCGGCAAGGAGGACTTCTCTAGAGGAGTGGCGTCTTTGAGCAGGAGCTCAGGACCGCCAGCGCTCCCACAGCTGTTCTTCTGTCCGTACAGATCCGTCCCGGTGACCATCAGTCTCCCCACGGTCCCCACGACGATCACCTCCTGGCGAAACTCTCCGGGGACGTTGAAGTTGAGGGTGACGGTGCAGCAGGCGCCTCCTTCCAACACCATCTGGAACGTGCAGAAGTCGTCGCTGGTTATCTGCCGGATGCCCCGAATGTGGTCCGTCTGCTTAACGAACGTCTTTAGGAAGCCGTGGACCTTGACCGCACGCTGGCTGGTCAGAAAGGTGAGGAGGTCGATGATGTAGCTGCCCACCGAGTGCAATCCGCCGCCTCCCATCAGATCGTCGCAGCTCCAGTTGTATTTCTTGCCCAGGAGACTGCCACTGTGGACCTTATGGACACAACAGATAATTCTTTTTCATTTTTTGCAACAAGAAATACAAAAATGAGTGAAAATGAAGTGATTCATTGAGTCATTCAGTGCAAATATCTCAAGGTCAAGCAGCAGGCGTTTTGCTTGTAGGTCCTACCTGGGCCTCACAGACCAGAAGCTCTCCGATGTACCCTTCCTCCAGCAGTTCCTTCATCCGAACAAAGGCCGGCAAGAAACGCAGCACATTTCCCATAATGCTCAGCAACTTTGGATAGTACTGGGCAGCTGACATCATCCGGAAAGCGTCCAGAGGAGTGGCGGTCCTATCGCAAATGACGTTCTTGCCAATACCTATGAAGAAAAAAGAAAAAACAGAAACTGATTTGTATTCCTCAGCTGGAGAATCGGTTGATTTATTTACTCGGTCTTTAATGAGGCTGAGGAACAACTGAAGGTGCGAGAGGAGAGGAGCACTTTGAGTGGATTTAACGACGTCTACAGATTTCCTCCTGTGCACGAAAACATCAATTCCCATCAGGGGAACAATGGATCGCTGCAAAATGAGGCAACTCCCTCAGCAGCTGACTCTGAGATGACTGGAGCTGTGGAGGATTTCCCCTCAGAGTCCAGAGACGTGTAAACATAAACAAATGTGTGGCATATATTTGGTTATATTAATATATCGTGGCCAACCGGAAGAAAAAAACCCTAATAGGATGATTAAGATCATGGAGCGTAGATAAGATCAACTGGTATTGCTGGCGGCTCAGCAGAGGGAAATAAAAACAAGCTTTAGCCGCAGTAGGAAACCTAATTAGAGTGTTGTCCAGCAGATCAAGTGGCGTAAAGCCAGAGGAGACGGCCAGCGGTGTGAGGAAAACGGAGAAAATACGACTTAAGAAAACAACAGCAGCAGCCCAGCTTCATATGACAGATGGTATCAGGAATCCAGGGTGGATCTGAAACGCTTGGGGCAGTGGTGATGAGTGGGGCTGTCTGCGACACATTTTCCACACTAACCTGTAAACTGTAATCAGAAGCTAATGTGTCTATTAGTCATTTCCAGTACTTTCCTTTATTCCTCGTTAAATTTTCCCCTTATGCTTCCTTCCTTCACTCACTAACTCCCTAATTTCCCTTTATTTATTTACCCTCCGTTCCCTTTCTCTTTCCCTTCACTCTTGCTTTCTTTTCCTGCAGAACCAACCGGATCCAGCGGACTGATCCTGGATCCTTGCTTCCCTGAACAAACTGGACCCACAGAGAATGGATTTATTCACCAGAAAGCCCTTTTCCACAGCTGCACAAAAGGGATCAACCAAAGACATCTCCGAAACTGTCCAGTTTGCACCTGGATGGGAAAACTTGGGGGGAAAATGCCCCCCAGTATTAGACTTTATATTAGCTTCCCGTTAAAAATCAAACTGGGGATCTCCAGTGGAGATCACCAGAGATCGCCACAAACTTGTTTTTATACATTATTAATTGGATTGCTGCTGAAGGTTCTCAGTCATCCAGGTCATAGTCATTCCAAAAGTGTAAAAGAAAAACAATCCACTGCACTTTGTTTCTGAGTTGAAGAAGTTTTGCTTCCCTTACAGGAAACTTTTTCCATTTAAAATGTCAGAAATAGAGCTGAGTTCCAAGCTTTATAGTGTAGCCCAACAAAGTCTTGTTTTGGCTTAGAAAACATGCAAATCGAACTGGAAGAATGGTTCTGCCCCTTTGTAATGGGGAGTCGTTGAGTTCTTTGTTAGCCTGCCAAACCTGATACTGGTCTATGCCTTTGAAAAGGGGGGTTGTTAGGGGTATTGCTGGCCTTGCTGACCAGGAAAGGTGACTTGGTCCCCTGCAATAGCGCCTAGTTCAAAGGTTTATTGAGAGGACCAAAAACAGGTCTTGTTATGGCTTAGGGGCAGAGTAGACTTCTGCAACCGAACATATCAAATGTCGCGAACCAGTTTTGCTGCTATGCTTCTGCACCGTCGGTCTGAAATCTCTAGAGAAGCACAGCAGTTTCCCACCAAAGCGCAACGGGGAGCCTATTGGAGAAATTGCAAGAACTTCGGCAGTGTCGGCGGAAGTGTTTATCTTCCAAAACAACAATGGGCGTCTGCAAGATATCACAGCCACAGGATATAGATCTAGAGTTGCTAGATATGGAAGAGGAACAGGTTCTGTTAATGGAGCAAACCTCCTCGATTAACCTTTTTTCGTAGTTGTTCGTTGTAGTTGTTCCTCAGTTTTAAAAAATGGCGAATGGCGCTCCCCGGCACCGAAACAAGGACGACCACACAGACAGCCAGAAAGGCAAACCAAGGACCAATCACAGCTGCTTTTTGTCTGTTCGCTTCAGTTTGAGGTCTGAGCAGGTTTGCGACCATCTGACACAGTCAGAATTTTTTTGAGTTGCGACGACGGTTGAAGAATGTCATCGCTGGGGGGAGTGGTCGCACACAGAGACAGATTTGACGGTTGCAAGGCTCTGCATCAAAAGCATAAATTGGCCTTTAGAAAACAGGCCTGTTTTCTAAAGCTGTAGAAAACAGGCATGTTTTCTAGGCAGTTGTGGGGTTTTAATAAGATTTTCTACACTGTCAGATGAAGGAGAATTACAATCTAACCGGCTCCTCATTAGAGTGATTTTTAGCTGACAGTTGTTGTTAAAAGTTACCCTTCCTTTCTTTCTTTTCATCCTTTACCTTTTCAATGTTTATTTTCATCCTTTTTTATTCATTCATTAATTTCCCTTTATTCCGTCTTTCTATCAGCCCTTTACTCATTTCTAGTGATGTTATGGGATCAGCCGAGGCTTCGTGGCGTGTGTCGAGTAATGGAGGGGGCGTTTCCCCGAAGTGCGTGTCATCATGTTTGAATAAAAATGACTAACACCTTTCATTTGGCTCATCATTGCCCAATTTGTGCAAACACTGTCACTGTCTGCTTTAGTTTATTTAACTAAAATGACACAAAAACTGTGCACCTTAAATGATTGTTCTAAGAAATTTTACACTTAAAAAAAACTTACAAAAGATTTTATTATACACACCAACCATTAACAGTTTCAATGGAACTTAAAAGGGGGAAAAAAGAAAAACAGTTGCAAAAAAAATCACAGATTTTATTTCAAACTGTAGTTCTGCTTTCCACCAGTAGGTGGTGACATGTTCACATGAAGCCTCATGAACTATGGGGATCGTTGAAGCAATTTGGCGAAAAGGTGCAATGCATCATGAGGCTTCATCTCACCATCACTGCTCATTTCCTTTATCCTTCCTTTTTCTTTTCCTCCTTCTCCTTTATTCTTTAATTCTTTGTTGTTTTTTTCTCTTTACTTTCCTCCTTCCTTTAATCATTTCCTTCCTTGCTCCTACATTAGGGGTGACCCTGCTGAATGCCAAACCTCTACATTAGGCATTCCCAAATTCAGTCCTTGAGGGCCGCTGTCCTGCAGGTTTTAGAGGTTTCTCTGCTTTAGAACATCTGATTCCGATGATTGCATTTCAGCAAAAGCCTGTTAATCAGCAATCAATGAAAATCAGCTGTGCAGAAGCTTGAAAACCTTAAAAACCTGCAGGACAGGGGCCCTCGAGGACCGACTTTGGGGATGCCTGCTCTACATGTCCTGCATTGGCAGCTCTGACATCATGCCGTGTTTAAAGTGGGAATTGCTGCTTGTCCTGCAGTCGTGCCTCAGGGTCACGGGTGAGCAAACAGTTTTAAATATGGAGGCGACCTAATAATCTGCTATTAGCTACAATTGGCTAGGTCAAGGCATAAATCCGTCTGACCCAGTTCACCCAGTAAGCAGCTGGAGCTGAGACACAAAGCCAGAAACAACAGAGGAACATCGCCTCATTTTTCCTTCTTTTTCAGCAGGAACACAGAGGACTGGTTAATTGGTAGATTCCTCATAGATCTGCTGTTTTGCTCTCATTCATGAAGTAGCTACAACATAACTAGAGCCGTTTAACGTAGCACTTTTAATAAACATACTAACATGTCTACCGAGGTCCCGTCGAATCAGCAATGACCTCTGATTTTCGGAAGCAAAGATTTGAAAGATCAAGGTTTTAACACAGTCTGTTTATAGCTATAACTCTTTAAAAAGGAGGAGTTATGTGTTGAGCAAACAAAATTGTTAAGCTTTGACTTCTGCGACCATTTCTAGAAATACTACACAGAACTCTTCAGGCCAGCATCACTTTGCTTTCGTTAGGGTTTAAAATTATCCCGTTGAAACAACCGACCTGGACGTCCATCAAGAAGAGGTGACTTTGAAGGTTTGCATTAAATGAGCTTAGCAATGAGACACTGGTACAACCCCAGACCATGATCTAGGCCACATCGCAGCTGTTTACCTCATCTGCACACGCTGATCCATTTCAATCACTTTCTCCTTCCTCTCTGCTCAACATAATCCTGCCGTAGCATCGCAACTTTGACTTTGTGATTATTAAAAGTCGGCTTGATGGGAGATTGTTACTGAACTATATTGCTGTGTTAAAGAATTGGACCTGCAGAGTTAGCCAAGTGATAATTTTATGAAAACAAAAGGTTTGCCCTACACACTGGTTAGAAAACTGAAAGGGAGATTCATCCAGAGGAAAAAAACCCACCAGATTTTCACTAAAAATGGCTTAATTTACAAAGTCAAATTAAATTGGAAATATGGCAGCTTATGACTTTTAAGCTCTTCTATGATTATGCCAAATTATTTCCTGAATTTGTAACATTTGGAGGAAAATAAGGTACAAGCACTTGCTGTTTTATAGACAAAGTATAAAAAATACAAAGATGTCATCAACATAATGAGAATGGTTGCTTAAATTACCGTAATGAACCCACCATCTGGCAATATTTTCTCATTTAAACTGCAGAGCGGGTTGGTAGTTGCAATCTGCGCTTCCATATAGGGCAGTAACGGCAGGACAGTTTAAAAAAAGTCAGACTTAAGGGCCTGTATCCCAGACAAATTATTTATTTGCTCAGTTTGCAAAAGGAGATCAGTTTCCTATTTCATCTGAACCAGCGTGAGTAAATTTAAGGACCGGGCTTATCTGATGTGTTTTACATCAATGGCTGGATGTGTGTGGTGACTGTGGGAGGAGATGTGGTTCATCAGCCAACAGCAACAGGAGGCACCATCGATGGAAATGGTGCATCGATGTTAAATATGATGGTGAAGATTCTCCGTTATCCAGGTCATAGTCATTCCAAAACAGTAAAACATAAAAAAAACACTGGATATTGTTTTCCAAGTTTGAACGTTTTGCCTTACCATCCAGGAAGATATTTCATCTCAAAATGTCTGGATTAGCGTTGAGTTTCAGGCTTTATAGAGTGGACCT